AAATATACCAGATCGGTGACGAGAAACTATGACCCCCTTAAACTGGATATTTTGTCTTAATTATTTTGAAATAAAGACAACAGCGATGGATCAAGCGCCTCGTCTTCATGTTCATCCAACCCGCTTCCTTCAGCTTGTAGCTGATAGGTCTTCCGCGGCGGATGCCGTAAATAAACTTCAAGCAGCATTTTTGAATTTTTTCAATACGTTGTGACGAATTAGCTGTCAAACAAGGCCACAATGATTAAAAACGGAGAGAACAAGAGCATCGCATAAGGTTTTTAAGATTTCGAGTTAGAATATGCCATGAGCTATACAACCCTTTTAAACGGCCAATAGCCCTTTGCGTACAAGTCGAAATATGCTTTTCAAAGCGAAGTTTTGTATCTAAAAGTAATCCCAAATTTTTTGCCTCGTTTTGAAGAGGAAGAGTAATATTGTTTATTTTTATGATTACTTTAGAAGCAAGACGATTAACATCCACCGGCCGACCAAAAAACATTACAGAACATTTTTTTGGGCTTAAAAGCAAACCATAAAAAAAAATTACAATGCAATTACAATATAAATTTTTAAATGTAACATTTTTGAAAAGTATGGTTTTCTCTTATCTCCTCCATCTTCGAGTCTGTTTTTCCATTTGCTTCCTTTATGCACTTTAATACACGTCAAACTTATTATATAGAGGCTGTTCTATTTAAAAATTCTGAGATAAATTGGTCGGCAAGTTAGCAAGACTTCGGAAAAATCCTTGTATCAAATAATCATTTAATCGTTTTACTAAATTCCCACTAATGCATATACTTTTAAGGATGTCGCCTTAAAATTCAAAAGTCAGTGCGTATGAAGATTTTTCGGGAATCGTAGTGTGGATAAAATATACGCTACTTGGAAGCCATACAAAAGGAGCGTAATGATGAAGAATTAACAAATGTAAATAGTTAATCTGCATAAACTGTTTTCAAAAGATCGTATCTAAAAGCAAATACGATATTTACATAAGGATAACACAGTCATTTTACCTGCTATGGCTTACTTGTTGGAGAGGATTTTTATATTTCAAAATTCTTATTATACATTAGGAAACCTGGATTATTTTTGGATTTCAGCTAGATGATATGGTATAAAACATAATGTAATGTAAATAATATTAATAAAATTTGGTTTTTGTATTATATACAAAAATTGATATATGTTCCAGTTTTGAAAATATTAATTCTTTAGTTAAAATATAATCCACAAATAAACATCCCATAACGAAAAGATATAAGATATATAGAAAAAGATCTTGCGAAATTACATAATTTTTTTTTAAATACTACGAAATTGCAAATTTGAATAATGTATGGAACGAATATGATACTTGAACCCGGGATATCTTCTGATGAGGTTGAAGTTTGTGGCAGTTTAAATCGTATTAATTTTATGCTATTTATCAATTATGTGCGAAATTAAAAAGCCCAAAATCAGTGTATGCGTTTTGTGTATAGCTTAAAAGTATGACTACAAACTTGAACATTTGAAAAAAAAATTGTATTAGACTATTAATTAATTCCATATTTTATTATATTAGGTACAGTTTGCGTGAATATTGCCAAAAGAAGAGCGTTATTCACCCAGTGCAATGTTCCTAACCAATTATGGAAGCAGTCAAATGATGCCTTTGTTGAGCACCATTTTTAACTAATAAACAGCTTAGTAACAAATGTTTCGCTGAATATAATAATAAATAATAATTATAATAATAATAATTATTATTATAAATATTATTATAATAATAAAACCGGGTAAAGGAACCCATAAAATCGTAGCATGGTTCCTAATAATTCAAAAACACAACTAACTATCGTACTAATTTGCTCAATTACAAGGAAAATCACCTTTAACCAACCAGTTGTTTGTTTTAGATCTCCACCTTTAACAAAGTTACCTTAACTAAGTTGCTCGGCACAGCTTATTTATAAGTATTAATTATTTTTCATCTTTTTCACACAGTTAAGTACTAGAGTGCACCTCATTAACTCAAAAAAATACCTTCAAATGATTAGCGTTAATCGCATTTACTCGCTTTAAATGTGTGTGCCTTTCTTTATTGAGTCAAAAGGAGATCCTACTTACCGGAGCGCCTGCAACGAACGAGAAATTATTTAGATTCCATCACTCCATCGCGAAATGGGTTTTATAATACAGCTGTGTTTTGGTTTACGTATTCTTGACAGAGATGAAAATGTATTCTTGTTAAAATAAGCTTCCAGAAAGTTCAGCGTAGCATTTTAATTCGGATTTATCTTTTCCGCGCTTTATGATTACCTAAGCCGTAGTTCCTTTTCGAGGACTTTATTTGCCCTCGGAAAATTAAGAAAGATGTCCCTTAACACCTTATATTTTCGTCACCGTAAAACAATGTCCTACCTGACAGCAGGATACCTGCCCTGTACGGATAGGATAAGTTCTTTTTAAAAAATTATTATTATATACTCTGTTTCTTAATGCGAGAGTGTTATAATCATTTTTGATCAGTTCAATTTAGTGATCTTAGCGGTATTAATATGGAACTGATTCGCATGAAGAATTGCTGGATATCACCATAGGCAGAGCCTCTAATCTCTAGTAGCGATATGCGTATTCTATAATCGTATTTATAATGATTGCGAAGAGTAGACAGATAGACCGAAAGACTTGCCTGTGAAATTTTCAATATCAAATTGTAAACAAAGATTTTACAGGAATGTACTTACAGCCTTAAGTAGAGCGCAAATGATATGCAAACACCCTGTATTTAAACATGATAGAACTTGGTATAGTTGGTATAAGTGCTCCTGAATAAGAATTCGTGGCCAATTCTTTAAAGAATTCATAATAGTACATCTCTCTTTTGCTAAATAGTCCCAAAAAAATATTTCAAAACGAACCATTACAAGAGTGTATAGTTCTTAAGTGGGACACGCAGTATTATGTGGTCATTGGCCTTGTAGTATTATCTAAATTGTGCCGCCATCTCTCGATGACTGACGAAATAATCCGAATTCTTTAATTACCGCAAAAGGAAAGTTGAATTTGAACTCATGATATCAAATCTGGCCGGCAGCGGGGATAGTGAAATGACCAAAACGAAGTAACTACTAACGAAAATCTGTTACTTTTTGATTGGATTGTTTGGCAAGTTCCAAAATCACTACAGTAAATTATATTTGTTAGAGTTCCTGGTCATGGAAATAATGTTAATCGACATTTCACAATTTGGTTAATACCAATAATTTTATTTTTTGGTTAATAGATTAGTATTAATTGAGTTTTCTTGGTTCATAATGTTGCACTTTTCGAAAAACAGATAATATTTGTAATCATCCACATGGTTTGAAATAATCAGATGGTAAAAGTCAAATTAATGTGACGCTTCTAACTAACCAAAACTACTGAGCAAATTATGATACGGTTGCCACGGTTATGGATTTACCAATAGTTAACCACGGTTGCACAATGAAAATGTTTTTACTTTACTAACTAACTATATATAACTATATATAACTGTATCATGCCATTTTCACCTGGATAGGGGGTCCAAAAGTGATATATTTCATATATGATTTGTTTAGAAAAAAAAAAACAAAAGTTATAGATAAGGCTAAAGGAAACGATTTAAAATTATTTGTCAATATACAGGCATTAGCAAATACTCCTTTTTATACTCAATCACCCAATGTGGGAATGTTATAGTCTATACGTATTGTTTTCGGATTTATGGCCATTTTTTCGTTAAAAAATGCCCTGTGTAATTTTGAGCTCATTTCCGACAGCTGTAATTTTATAAAGCACTACAATCATTTATCCTATACTTCTCTTTTATGTTAGTTCGAATAGTTCTTACAGGGTGAGTCAAAATGAAAAATAATAATTCTTCGTGAAAAAATGAAATGAAACAATATATACTCCCATTAATTACTCCTATTAAGGCTATAATTAAAATTAGTATTCTTTGGGGAATACACATATTTAAGAACAAAACTCCGAATGTCAGAATATGAAAAAATGTCGCCATAAGCCAAAAAAAAATAATTAAGTTTTTTGAAAAAAATATTTCCTTGCGTTCCATTAATTTAGAAATTATTATTAGTTTGACACTATTTGGACACCCTGTAGTTTTTTAAGAAAGGCAGATTTTCTAAATTAATGTAAAGAAAGGAAACATATTTTTCACTATTTAATAATAATTTGTCAATTTATCGGAGTTTTGTTCATAAAAAGGTGTATAACTTTAATAATTATATTAATACGTGTAATTAATAAAAGTACAAGGTACAAGATGTGCCATTTGATATTTTCACGAAAATATATATTTTTCATTTTGACTCGCCCTGTATAAACGATTCAATCTAACTTAAAGACAAGTATGGAATAAATTACTTTATAAAATTGTTGAGATCATAAAATAGCAGCCGTCGGAAATGGGTTCAAGAATATAGTCTTAAACGACGAAAAAATGGCCATAAATCCATACCAATCATAACACTGGGTATAGACTATAACAACCCTACGTTGGTGATAAGTATGATGAGTATAAAAGGGAGTATATAATGCAATAATATATTGGGTGATCCCTTAAAAAAATTATGAACCACCCTGGATATTCGAAAATAATTTTATATTGTTTCTTTTCATCTTCAATATTTTTGACCTCGACACACTATTTGTATATTTGAAATCTTTGAAAATACTTAATATAGAATCGACAAGTTTCTTATGTAGGGAATTTTTGATTTGTCATTAGGTTTGTCTTGTGTAATCTTGTCAACCTGTTTTTTGTATTTCTTCAAGTTCCCTCCCGAGGAAGTCAATAACGTAGGAACGAATAAAAATGAATATAAGAAAATGAATAGGAATTATCCATTTCTTAAGACGTAGATCATGTCTATTCTTCTGTCTGATATTGGCATTCTTGAATAGTATTTAAATTATAGCGAAAGGATCACCGTGGATCGGATCGAATTAAGCAATGACGGTTTCAATATAATATATTGTAAACAGAGTGTACATTATTATTACCGATTATGTATTATTGTGTTATATTATTGGACGTCCACATAAATCGGTTCTGCAGAAAATCTGACTTGACCGTCGTCGGGCGCATAGAAATGTTCAAACATGTTGATGTAATTGTAACCGGTGGTCAAAAACGGTGCCGGCAAATAGAGCGTTTGTTGGGGTCCCAGGGCTGCATATCTACCTAATGGAAATCCGTTGACAAATACCATTCCTAAAAGAACATGACAGTTGGTAGCATTTGAAAGAAATCAAGAGAGTCATGCCGACCTTTGCCCCACCCCCGCAAGTCTACGAACGTATCTCTCGCCTCATCGTTGATGCGCAGCAGAGCGTTGTACATCGTCGGTCCGACATGTCCTGTAGTGTAATTTTGCCATTCTTGTAGATGATTAACCCAATATTTTTTAAGTTCTAAAGGTATTATTTTCCAGTTCGTGATTTTTACATCATCGATAGTCACATCGCCTAAAAAATTGATTCAAAACAAGACGAATTTAAAACGAATAAACGCACCTTGCCAAAGCCCTTTGAACGTGTGATTGTACTGAGTTATCTTGCCTCCGTTCATTCGTCCCATTTCTTCCACAATAATATCCAATGTGGCGCCGCGCAACGCTTCGTTTGTTAGGGTGATGGTCGGGTCCGCTTTCCAGGCAAAGCCAAATTCCTTCAGATCGGACAAATACTTGAATTGCTTCGGCCCGATGAGATTCCCATTCACGAGAACCACTACGGTGTCGCAGACGTGGCCTAAACAACAGAGTAAGGACGATTTAGCCTTTAATCCATGCAGCGTAATTAATATTAAGCGATATCAAACTGATGCGCATATTATTATTAGGGTTTTGCTTTTTACTGTTATGACTTCATTAGTGGTATGCATTTTAAGCTACCTACACAAATAATGTTTGCTTTGATAATGTGATCCTATTTCCAATCTTCGATAGATTTGCAGAGGCTATCGGTAGCTACATTTTGTTTTAAACATTTTTTATTTAACGAATAAACCTAGGAGCAATATCATAAAAGTAACACAAAACCAAAAGAGTTCTTTCCCTCAGGATCCCTAAACATATCTCACCACCTTACCACAGGAACCAAACTATTTTATTCCAGATAATATTAAAATTATAGTTATCGAGCACAGGCTCTATTAGGACCAAAAAAAGCAAAAACATACATTTTAGTGAAAATAATATTAAGTACATCGTTGCCTATTACTACTCTCTGTCACTAACTTTCCAACCAAATCCTCCTGAAAAGCTAGAGCTAAAAAACCTCTCATAGCTATTGCCATTGACAACCTTCACTCGATTTGACTACATTTTTTTCAATTGTAGTTTAAATATTCAGAGAAGATACTACAACCTTTTTTTTTGTTTAAAGTTTAGCCATGCACAGAGTGCTGCTATGCGTTTTATACTCAATGATTGTTCAATTTTTTTATCTAACAAATTAATAAAACTTAAAAAATGGCAGCCTATTACAAAAAAAAATTTAAAGAAAATCATAAACAGTAAACAAATAAAAAGTCAATATCGGGTGTTTCGTTCTCTACTCCTTCAAACCAATCAACATGGACGACTCATACTTGAACCAGAAGTCTAATTTTTGCTTCATAATGTTTTATTTTTTTAAGGTTTCAATATTCACCTGATTTAAATAGTTTTGTACTCTTCTTGCAGTATACTGCATAACATTATCTTCTAATCCCTCATACTTATTCTGAGATAACTGAGATAAAGAGATGAATAAAGCAACAAAATGCTGAGAAAAGATGAAACTAAGCATTGACTTAGACAGACACGTAATAGTTTTGACCGAAATTCCTAAAAAATATAACAAACATTGAGTATAAAACTGGTTTTCATTAAAACACTCTGTACATACCTAAATCCTAAAGTTAAATAGAACTATTTTTCATAGTATTTCTGAAGAACTAAGATACAACAAAAAAAAAGTATATCCAAATCGAGCTAGCAGTTCTCGAGAAAATTACCTTTGAAATTGACCGAAATTTTAGTCTTGCGAAGTTTATATTTGAGCAAAAGTTCCGCATGCACGGAGTTTAGCACCAAAATATGAAAATATACAAAAACCGCCCTACCTGCGATCTTCAGAACGGCGTTAGCGCTTAAATCCAAGTTTTCTTTCCTATAAACGATATAACCGTTACTTTGACCGGAGTTATGATTTATGTCCAATTTTTCCATGGCAATAACATTTTCGCTCTCCATTGTATAGGGCGAATTATACTCTATAATCGAATCCAGAGGCAGCTGCCTAATGATTTGGATGTTGTTATAGGCCACCGGCGGGATAACCTCCGGTTGGTCGGGCAGATATGTTTGGACAGGATTAGCTGGGACGATCATGTCTTTGATTATTGTATATTTCGTCCTGTAATCTCCATTTTCACTTAGCGGGGCATCGTAATCGTAACTCGTGGTGATCGCTTTGTAACCGGCATTATCCAGAAGCGAGTTTCCTACAACATTTGTCATTCAACTAGAACCTACTTGAAATATGAAGCAGAAGCACAAAAATCTTTATCTAGTGGAATATATAAGAAACAAACCAACTAGAAAAATATGTATACATGTATATATTATGATGCGTTTAAAACTGCTTTAATTGACAAACAGGAATGTGTATAGAAAATACGGATACAGATTTTCATATAACTTCCTTTCTTCTCCTAAAACTATCTCTTGTCACTTTTAAAATTTAAAAAAAAATTGTGATGAAATTTAATCTTGGAAAAAATGTTAATTTAAATTTAGTAATTTAAAACCTGATTTTTACGTCCCGTGGCCGGCTCTTACGTAAATTAATTTCAATTTAATAAAATCAATAAGTTTTCCTACTATGAAACCACAAAATTTTCGTTCAAAGCAAAGTTACAATCTTTAAAGGATGTTTTTACTTTATTGTAGTTTCATAATTAGCTGATTTTAGCATATATTTAAAATTAAAATTAAGATTCTGAGTTTCATTTTGCTGGAGAGTATATTACCTACCAAATTCAGAAAAATGAAATCACTTTCCTGCTGAAGTGCGTATAATGTTGGTTAGCATTTTGCAAATATTTATCATGTTAGCTAAAATTTCAAAAATTTTGACAACCGAAATTGCCAGAAAACTAACCAAAACTAACTACCAAACGACATTGTAGTAGTACGATTTTGAGGAAGTTAATTAATGTATTTCGTTATTTAACAAAATGCCAAAATTACCGTTCATTTAAAAAAAAAGTTGCAAATTTTAATTCACCCGTAGATCTAATTATTAAAATCTGCAACGAAACAGACGCAACCAAACTTCTCTGCACTTTCTAACTCACCCATCGTTGCTCCATTGTTAAATCCAAAGTTGGTGCCTCCGTGGAAGACGTAGACGTTAAAAGATGCATTGCGGCTGACGATGTGATTTAGAACAGATCTAGTTTTATCGTCGGTTTTTCCGGCTTGGTTCTCTCCCCAGTACTGATACCACCCGGCCCAGAACTCCATAACCATCAGAGGCCTTCCCGGTTGTAATTCTTCCAACTTGTCTAGTTGTTCGTCGGCACCGTCTCCGAGGTTTGCTGTTTGCAGGAAGATTCCCGGTAGAGTACCTGAAATGGAAACCAATTTGGGTAAATATGTGCGTTAGTAGATAGACCCATACCGAACCTTTGTCCCCATGAGATAATGGACTGTCCGAAGTTACTAATAGTTCCTGTATGCCGTTACTGATAAAAAGTTGCCGTAGTTGCTCTAAATACGCTTTCTCCGGTTGAAACACATCCCCATATTCTTGGTTACCGTATTCATTTTCAACTTGGAACGCGACGATGGGTCCACCTTTGGTAAATTGAAAAGCTGCCAATAGTGTGAGGAGAACGTTAAAGTATCTGAAATAGATAATACAAAATTCTAAGCAACATAGAGGATTTCTAGGAAGGAGGGGTTGCAAATAAACCGATCGACACTCCAAAGAAACAAAAATTTTTATAAGTTCATAATATAATAATACAAATATGATAACATTACTAAAATAAATTGCTGTTGTTGAAGTTAAAACATTGTAAATGTTTTAGAAGAATTGTATAACTAAAAAAAGGGGAAAACAACATTTCTTGACTGGCACTTGACTTGACTGTTGCTGTTTAAATTGAAATCCAAAATTTCTTATAGACGCCATACGCACCTGATTTTTTTATTTTGATTTCATACTTCAGCAAGGTACGTAAAATACCAAAAAAAAAAATGCAATTTAAAAAAATTGCTTTGCCGATGTAGCACTTTGTGTGTAAAAAGTTTTCAAATGACTCCAATAATGCAAATCTTTTATGGTCTTGCAAATTCAGTACGGTGAAAACAGTCCACAAATTTTGTTTCTTACTTTACATATTTCATTTTAGGGTCCTGTAAGTGTACCTGGTTACATATTTCATATAAGTGGGTTCGGAAGTCCTAAATCCGACGGTTTCTTCTCTCAACAACCAACTCGGAAACCCGCCAAAATTATATTCTGCGCATATATAAGGGCCGGTCCTCAAAATGACAAAAAGGTCTTCCTCTTTTGCAGTCTGCAAAAATTCCTCGAGGTGCAGAAAATCTTCCATCTCCGAGCCGCCGTTTCCAAAATCAAATTTGCCTACAAGCGTTACTACCTTAGCAAAACAAATGAAAAGTTTTCGAAATTGTTGAATGGAACCCAAAAAGCCGATGGATAATGCATGAGCAGTTGCTAAACGATGAAAGAGCATTTGTCATGCCTGAGCGGTGTTTAACGAAGACAAGTTGTTATGTTTATTCATTTATGATTAATATATAGTCGCTTAAAGGAAGAGGCTTCATAAATCTTACCGGATATGTAGGTCACTTCTAGGATACAGTCGGATAAACTCAATATTATAAAATTCTTTATGTGATTTTGATCGGCGTTTTCGCACTAGCGAACCTAACCAAAAACTAAACAGAATGCCGCGAATCAATCCACTAATCTCATTAATTAATTTTAAAAATTAACCTACAAATTTTAACTTTTCAACTTCATCAAAAAGACTTTAAAATTGTTGAATTAGTGTGCCTTTTTGGTTGCCAAACTTGACGTACAGGATCTTTAAAAGTTATTTATGATTTTTTGTAAGGAATTACTGTAAAGAATTCAATAAAATTTGTATTTGCTAGTGTGCTACTGTTTACACTTAATCTTTTGAATGAATATTGAAAGCAGTTCTCATGGGTTTAGGTTCAAAAAGAATTCAAATTGGAAGTTGAAGAAATCAACTGGACACCCAAAAAACATCAAACTTTTGAAGAAATAAATCATAACTTAAAAACTTGTAAAGATGCCAAAAATCGCTCAAACTTATTATTACTTTTAATTATTTAATTTATTTTTTTAGTGTAGTGGATCTATATCTACATTATTAAAGTGGCTAAATAATAAATTGGAATGTCACATAATAATTTGAGTACCTGCCTAGTTCATAATCGCAATGTCATGATATAATTTCAATCACTTGGTTATGTTTTAAAAAACAGCAAAATAAATGTGCAACCCCACCAACTCTTATAGTGCTGGTTATTAAGACTTAAATCCACTTGTATGTAATTATCAAAGTAGAAAATATAAAATTAATATACTGGTTGAGTAAAAAATATTAAAAAATGATAACATTGCTATATCTTTAACTATACAGTTGAAAAAATATGTATGGTTATTTATAAATATTATAGAAAGATCTCATTTAATTGTTTTTAAAATAGTAATTACAGTATTTAATATGGATTCTGCAATTATAAAAATGCAATTATTGTCGAAGTTAGCAAGATTTTTGAACCCCCCCCCCCCCCCCAAATACTAACTTGTGCATTTTACTATATTAAAGTTCTTTTAGAAGATTAAATATTGTTTATTTTCTTCATTTTTTCCAAAAAGGTGGTAGAGTGGGAATAAAATTCAAAAACAATCACGAAGTCATAAATATATCGCCCGTAACAATTGTGTAAATATTCAAAGAAAATAAAAAATAAATATTATAAAATATTCATTATTTAATTAATTAATATAAATGAACATATCAATTACAAAAATCTGAGCAAAAGTAGTAGAGTGGAAACAGCCGAAGACAGCAACGTAGTTAGATACAGAGTGATCCATTTAAAAAATCAGAGAAAATTTAGCTTAAAGGTTGTCAAGTTCGCAAGATTTACTTGTTGTTTTATAAACGAGTGACTTAAAAAGTATACCGAACGTGTTGCATACTATACTTTTTTTGAGACAAGACCGTCAGAATTGACAAACGTCAAAATTGAAAGCGTGGGAAATATCCCCAAAAACATCCGATTGCTCCCAAACCCGTTTGGTAAAATCCCGGAAATGCCCGAAGTGGCTCGTATCCGTGGGAAACGAAACTGACGTGGAAAAGTGACACCTCCCGCACGCTAGATCGGTGTGCAATTGGATATTTTACAGATGGGAATAGAAAAAAATATTCCCGCGCGGCCATTTACTCACCCTGCTATAATTTATTATTTTTCTTTAATATATAACTCGATATTTATGTCAGTCCTAAAGCAAATGCTGCTTATAAATTTGGAAATATAAATTGCAAAATATTAAGCCAACCTGTCTCGGGCTCGTGCAAGTTCCACGGCACGTAAGACTCCACCGTGTTCAAGCCAGCCGCCCTGATTTTCTTTAGCCTGTCTCTCCAATACGCCCTCGGGACCCTGAAATAGTGCATAGCTCCACTATAAATTCTTACGAGCTTGTCATTGAGCGTGAAATAACTCTGGTCCGCGCTAAGGCCTCTGTTAATACCGCCTGACGTGTAGTATTCATAATTCGTAGGCAGATTTGCCGTGATCGGCAAGGAGCCCGCTACGAGGGCCATGGTCTCAGTATACACTAACTGATGCGAGAATGTTTTCCTAATTAATTAGTATAAACACTTCAGGCTTATCTAAACGATATTTTAACTCGAGTATTTTGCTTTCTATAACGTTTGACATTTGGTACAGTCATCAATTTAACGCAAAAAAGTGAATGGGAGCTGCAAAACAATTTTTTTTGTAAGACACGACACCAAGTTACAAGCTGCAATTCCAGCAATTGAAATAAGTTGTTCGGAAGAATTTTGCTTGAAAAAATACTCTTTTTCTTTACAGAAAAAAATGTTCACTTCCTTCAATTACTTACTTTGTAATAGAAACATTAACTTCCCGATTGCAACAAATCAATTAATTAATTTATGAATCAATTAATTGTGTTAATTGTTAATTGAGTGCAAAGACAGACGACCTCCTAAATAAGTGTGCTTTTACTGATGAGTTCTGGATTTATCTATCCTAACACTTAAACTCCCAAAATATTAAGATTTAATTAATTAAGATTAATTAATTAAAATTCCATCTCTTTTGTTAATATAAAAAGCATTGGAGCAAGTTGGAACTCTATTAATGATATCGATTATCCTCCACTGTCAAATCAAACAGGACTTTCAAAAGGGCGATCACCAAAATCACTCACATTTGCAACTTTTATTCCCTAACCAGCTCATGGCAGTTAATATATTCTATTTGCAAGTTGTTGACCTCACTAAGACAAAACCTGTCAATCAATTCATTATCATTTCCTGCAATTCCAGACTGTAATTCATTAATAGCGTCACGAGGGTGTCTGGAAAGGTTAGTAACTCGAGGAGGAAATTATTGCCACAAAAAAGTTGATATGAACATGCTGATTATCTCACCTTTCAATGATAGAGTAAGAATTTTTCAGCATGCAGTTTTTTTTAGTATTTTTCCATGATATTTTGAACACAGCGTTATGGAAAAAGTTGGCACTTAATTTAGAGAGATTGTGTTTTACATTAAAAAATTGTATAATAGAAGACCTTTGTGAATTTCAGTCCATTATTAATAGCGCTTCAAACGATGAGAGGATGTCACGCTCTGCAAATCAAATATTCTAATGTCATGCTTATTGTTTTGCGAAAAAAACAACTTTCTGACGTCGATCGATGATTGTGATTGATCGATTACGAAGTAAAGAGCTTACTTATCACTGGAGAGAGTGCAAGGAAATTTGCCATATGAATTCTTTTTTTTCAAAGCCGTAAAACAGTTTTTGCTATTCAAAGATGGTCGCTATACCAGTTTTTTATTTTATTCGTAGCCCCATTTAGCCAAAAATATAGTCGAAAACATATGATAATGAACAAGATTGTCAGTTGCATTTATAAGTCTTCTATCTACAGTGTGGCCAAGATAAGAGTGGAGAATTTTTAACGGCAGCCGAAAACCTTCAATATATTTGTAAAATATGAATTTAGGTTATTTTGGAATTGTTTTCGCTTTCTTAATTCCCAAATTTTGTAAAATATCTGGGTAACACGTTTACTTATTACATGGAAATAGTTAACCTGCAAAATTTTACATTAAAGGTTTAGTAGTACTAAATCATAAATCCCACATAAATGTATTCTTAGATATATTTTGGTATAATTTCCTGTCCTATTGAAATAAATATAAAATTATCTTGTGGAAGGTGATCCTTATAAATAAGTTAGAAAATTAAATCTGACGAGAATAACTATGTGAAAATGTTGGTTATTTCAATTTAAAGTTATTGAAGACAGTGTGAGGCAGATACCAGAAGCACTTTTATCACTTACACAAAGAGAATGACGGCACCAGTAGATTTCAATTGATAATTTTTGCTTCTGTACTTTGGATATAAACATGTTTAGAAATGTTTATTATTTTCGATTTAGTGGTATTTGAATTGAATTTTCGGTGAAGGCTATAAAAATACCTGTCTATATAGATTTACGTTAAATCAAATACCCTACAACGACATATTTCGAAAATATGCATGTAATCCGAGCACTGTAGTAGTTTAGTTCATCAGTTATTGCTCATATTGCTCATTACATTACAATACATATAAACATAATCACATGGTACTGCTTTTAGGTTTTGAATTAATTTTGTTACCTCATTTAATAGTTACTTTTAGTTGGGAATAAATTTTGTTATGTTTTCTTATCACAAAATGTAGAAAATTCACTCGATTTTTTGCAAGCTGAACTTTCCGGTAGCTACACCCATTAAATTTGGTGTGAAAAGCATTTCGTTTATAATCAGATGCACTTTGTGTAGCTGGCGCCATCTATCGAGCAGTGCCTCAATGTGAAGTAATTCCTTCTGGTTCTCTTCTCTCGCAGTAATTTTTATAGGAGCAGTTTGTTCTGTCAAATGACAGATGTCGACCTTAAGTCAACTTAGTTTAAACTGCAATACAAAAGGAAATGTATAATAAAATTAGGATTTAAACATATTAAGAGTTTCCATACACAAATGAGATCCGTAAAGATTTCTAATCTACATCCATTAATTAATTGGAGACATTTTGTGCTTATATGAATTTGGGTGCTCATGCATTTAAGTTATGGAAATGGGTACTTCACGTTAACTGTTTTTCGAATTATTGTACTAAATATTGTTCAACTGTTTTTGTTGGGGTTACAATTAAATTTACATTAAACACTAAAAGATTCTATACTCGGTAGACGGGAACTAGTAAAATGAAGCCAACCAGCTTATTCCTACTAAATTTAAAAAAGATAAACAAGTTAGCAAACTATGGGAAATCAGATTTTTATGAGAAGACAAAGGTTTTATAAAATTACTCAACTGTAATAGCCTTTTCTGGCCTTCCATTCCAGCTTCAGACAAAAAAATTATTACAATTGTTCGTTGTAATCAGTTATTGTTTTGCATTCGATAAGTTAGTCGCTTTTATTGACCATTGCCTGCTTTAGTGTAGGCGACATGTTAACACATATAGTGGTATTACTTCTTTTTGTGGAATGTTATGGCAAGTTGATATAACTAAATTAATGTGTTGTTTAATATTTGAAACTGAATCTTCCAATAGTTAACATAATAATTATTATGTATACATACATATATATATATATATATATATATATATATATATATATATATATATATATATATATATATATATATATATATATATATATATATATATATATATAAATAACTGAAGGAGTTAGTTCTACAGTAAACTTTGTTAAGGTAGATTTTTTGGGTGCGTAAAATTTTATCACAACCCTCTCGATTTGAACCAAATCCTTTTCCGATATCAAATATACGATATTTCTTCACGTACAAGCAGAAATTACTAGCTGTGAAAATAAAACCCTGGTTGTTTGCAACAAATCTCCTTTTATCTGGTGCTATAGACTTCTTGATTATATCAGTGATTATTCATTTTTAAATTAACAAATAATAACTAGCTTGTACTGCCAACCCATGATTTAATGTATTAATTCGTCCTGATAGTGTTTCGTGTTTGATCTAATCGTTGTGACTTTATATTGGTTGATTTTATTCTGTAAAATAATGGTGAAGTAGAGATAAGAACTGGTTACTTGCTTTGGTACGTTTCCTTTATCAAGTAACTTAATTGGGATTGAAGAAGAAATCAAGCTGGCATATAGAAAATCTATTTGGCCAAATCTTTGATTGATTGATTCCTTGATAGTTTACTACTTTCATAGTAACGCAATTTTATTTATAGCAAAATTAAAAGGATAGAATATAATTGAATTGCCTCAATTTTTTATTTTAGCAGTGCCTTCAAGTACAAAAGTAAAACCGCCTTGTGCATCGACGAGTAGTGGTAAGTCAAGGCAGTTAAATTATTATGTAGTACAATAACCAGTGTGCTTTCAGATTGCGTTCAGGAAAACACGCCAGATGTCTCCTGGATCAGAATATTAGTTGGTATTTATAATTGTATTTTTATTTTTATTTATTATTTTTCTGGTTTTTTTCTAGATGCTAGTTTCTAGTTATTAATACTTTATATGTAATACTGTGACATGGCGAGAAATAAATGTGCACACTAAACCAAAATTATTGGTTTTCCATTTTAGGGTTACCAGATTCACTGCCACAGATCCCTAACATTAAAGTAGGTAAGGAAAACGACAGGGTGAAAAATTCTATGTCTTTATTTCATTTTTCCATATTTAAATAACATTCGTTTCAGAAATCTCGAACGATATGAAAAAAGCGGACTGCAATTGCGAAAACGGTAAGAACACCTTTCTCATCGTTTTCTTTTTTTTTTCAAGTGGAGCGCCTTGTCAAGAATAATTTTTTCAATTAAAACTGAATACCATCCGAAAATTAATATTTCATTCGACATTGAGGGTAGTTTTGCAAACCAATTTGTTAATTTAATATTTTTTATATTAAGTAGATATTCAAGTTTTTGAAAATTTGGTTTGCATCAACTGCACCAAACATCGTACAAATTCAAGAAGATAAGTACTTTACTATTGTGCAATTTTTATTTTTTATGCATTTGGCACTTGTTTTCTAAACGTTCAAAGAAGTTAAGAAGTTACAATTATATTGCAGAGCCAACTCATCGTCCAGAATGCACTACAGATGCTCCATCTGTGGGTGAGTAGTTTAGTTCCTTCCATTATTTATTATTTGATATCTAAATGCAATGAAAAATGCAAATTTTGCATATATTTTATAAAGAATCTACATTTGGAGCCAGGCGTTCAAGTGTTGGTATTTGCCTCATAATTTATCCAAACTAAACCTAATTTGTGTATAGCATTTTCCAAATTCAAATTTACCAGGAAATACCGAATTCTGATTTTGTATTTTATATTTGGAACATTTATCTAATTATTATATTTAAATTAAATTATCTAATTATTTCACATTACTTAACTTCCTTGATTCATTTATACACCAACTGATGGATATTACTTTTTTTATTCGACTTTCACTGTTCAATTTGTAAATATATGTACATGTATAACATATTTGTAAATAAGATTTATAAGGCTCAAATTTCAGAACCGACTGACCGTACCGACACCAGTTCATATATTCCACGCTCAGGTGAGTATTATTTAGAATAGTTTGTTCCATTTGTACCACTGGGCATTAAAAATTTTATGTATTAAGCCTACCATATGTTTGTCTAGTGCATATCAAACACCATATTTCAGAAGGGACAAGTTGTACACCTATTTCACATTAATTTGCTTACGGTATTCCATTTATACCATTTGAATTATACGTTTAAGTTTTCTAAATATTAATGTCATCACCGACTGACGGTGGTGACATATCCACACGCAGTTCACTAACAGGTGAGTATTATTAAGCATAGTTATTTTATTTTTACCACTTGACTTTAAAACCATTTGACTTTAAAAATCTTATGATTCAAATTCACAAATCTACTTCTGGTGAATACAAGATTTCATATTTTCAAAATAATTAGCTTACCTTGGTTTTATAAGTATAACTTATACAAATATTAAATTTCAGTAATATTTTTATTTAGTTCCTCTACTTCTACTCTTTGGTTTGTGAGTATAAATTTTATAGACATTAAATTTCAGAACCGACAGATGGTGGCGACATCTATCCAAGTAATAATAATAATATTAAATTTCAGAACCTACAGATAATGGCGACATCTTTACAACTAATCCACCAACAGGTGAATATTGCTTTTCTTTGTTCACTTCACTTCCACTCTTTGGTTTGTGAGTATCAGTTTATAGATATTAAATTTCAGAACTCACAGATAATGGCGACATCTTTCCAAGTAATCCACCAACAGGTGAATATTATTTTTCTTTGTTCACTTCTCCTCCACTCTCTGGTTTATGAACATAAGTTTTATATATATTAAATTTCAGAACCGACCGACGGTGGCGACATCTATACAAGTAATCCACCAACAGGTGAGTATTTTTTTCCCCAGACTTCCACTCTTTGGTTTGTGAGTATAAGTTTTATAGACATTAAATTTAAGAACCCACAGATAGTGGCGACATCTATACAAGTAATCCACCAACAGGTGAATATTGCATTTCTTTGTTCAATTCATTTCCACTCTTTGGTTTGTGAGTAGAAGTTTTATAAGTATTAAATTTCAGAACCGACCGATGGTGGCGACATCTATACAAGTAAACCACCAACAGGTGAGTATTTTTTTTGTTCCGTAGATTTCCACTCTTTGGTTTGTGAGTTTAAGTTTTATAAGTATTAAATTTCAGAACCAACCGATGGTGGCGAAATCTATACAAGCAATCCACCGAAAGGTGTGTTTTTTTGTGTTCCCTTGACTTCCGCTCTTTGATTTGTGAGTATAAGTTTTATAGATATTAAATTTCAGAACCCACAGATAATGGCGACATCTTTACAAGTAATCCACCAACAGGTGAGTTTTTCTTTGTTCCTTAGACTTCCACTCTTTGGTTTGTGAGTATAAGTTTTATAGATATTAAATTGCAGAACCGACCGATGGTGGCGAAATCTATACAAGCAGTCCACTAACAGGTGAGTATTATTTTTCTTTGTTCACTAGACTTCCACTCTTTGGTTTGTGAGTATAAGTTTATAGATATTAAATTTCAGAACCCACAGATAATGGCGACATATTTCCAAGTAATCCACCAACAGGTGAATATTATTTTTCTTTGTTCACTTCTGCTCCACTCTCTGGTTTGTGAATATAAGTTTTATATATATTAAACTTCAGAACCGACCGGTGGTGGCGACATCTTTACAAGTAATCCACCAACAGGTGAGTTTTTCTTTGTTCCCTAGACTTTCACTCTTTGGTTTGTGAGTATAAGTTTTATAGATATTAAATTGCAGAACCGACCGATGGTGGCGAAATCTATACAAGCAGTCCACCAACAGGTGAGTATTATTTTTCTTTGTTCACTAGACTTCCACTCTTTGGTTTGTGAGTATAAGTTTATAGATATTAAATTTCAGAACCCACAGATAATGGCGACATATTTCCAAGTAATCCACCAACAGGTGAATATTATTTTTCTTTGTTCACTTCTGCTCCACTCTCTGGTTTGTGAATATAAGTTTTATATATATTAAACTTCAGAACCGACCGGTGGTGGCGACATCTTTACAAGTAATCCACCAACAGGTGAGTTTTTCTTTGTTCCCTAGACTTTCACTCTTTGGTTTGTGAGTGTAAATTTTATAGATATTAAATTTCAGAACGGACCGATGGTGGCGAGATCTATACAAGTAATCCACCAACAGGTGAGTATTATTTTTCTGTGTTCCCTAGACTTCTTCGGTTTGTGAATATAATTTTTTACGGATATTAAATTTCAGAACCCACAGATAATGGCGACATCTTTACAAGTAATCCACCAACAGGTGAATATTGCTTTTCTTTGTTCACTAGACCTGCACTCTTTGTTTTAGTTTTATAAATATTAAATTTCACAACCGACGTAGTTTTTTTCATCTATACAATTTTTGTTTCAAAATCTTTTTCTTCAAGATTATTATACCTTTGTAGGGTGCATATATTGATTATAAACACTCTAGAAGACATGAAAATATATATTAAAGAACAGACCTATTCCACACGTTTTTAACGTTATTTTTTAGTTTGTAACAATACATTTTATAAATATTAAATTTTAGAAACGACTGATGGTAGTGATATCTCTACACATAATTCACCTACAGGTGAGTACTATTTTTCATATTTTCCACCTTCGGGTGAGTATTATTAAATATGATTATTTCATGTATTTGCCATTAAAAATGTCTTGTTTCAATATTCTTCTATCTTTGTCTAGTGCTTAAATAGGTTTTTTCTATATATATATATATATATATATATATATATATATATATATATATATATATATATATATATATATATATATATATATATATATATATATATATATATATATATATATATATATATATATATATATTATTAGTCCTACAGTTATTTCGCATTATTTAACTTACTTTGTTTCCTTTGATTCATTTTAATTAGGCTTTACAATTAATAAATTTCAGAAGCGACTGACATTTATACACGTAATCCAACAACGGGTGAGTTTTTTTGCCATTGTTTATTCAGCTTTCAGATGGTTTGTTACTATAAATGTTAATGTTAAATTATTTTGCCAATGTCATTCTTCTGAATCCATATTATTTTAATCAATTGCCGAGGTTCACTTTGTATTTTTGACTAATTTTTTGGATAATTCTAATGGTATTTTTTTTTGTAATAATTTTATACCTACGTAAAAATGCTGCAATCTCATATTTCTTTATACATATGCCTTCGCTATATGCAAAAGGAAGAGGGACACCACTGCATCACGATACATATAAGAATCATCATGAATGATGAAACAATCATGGATAGAAGCATTAGAAAATTTAACAAGTCGGACGATCCAACTAGCAATTGGCGCTACTCGGGGTCAAAACTAATCACCCGAATAGGTCACTGAAGGAAAACACCGTATATAAAGATCTAGCCATAAACAATCTACGGGAAATCACCACCAACACAGATGAAACTTCAAACTCTAAATGGGAAAAGATAACAAGTGCAATTACCGATGCAAGTGATAATTTAATACCTGCGCAGAGCGGCAACAGAAAAGTATGGCTCTCGGACGAAACGTGGCGGAAAGTTCAAACAAGAAAGGAACTAAAATCTAAAGGACTGACCAACGAAAAAACTATAAAGGAATATGCTATGCACCATAAAACGGTCAAACAAATGTGCAGAGGCGACAAAAACAAATATCTAAACAATATATGCCAAGCAATCAAAGCAAATCAGAACAAAAATAAGACCAGATATCTATTTATGAAGATCAATAAAGAAGAACTGAAGAACGCGAAAATTCTCCCCAAACCACAATAGTATAAGATCGGAAGATGGAATAATCCTAACGGATACAAATAAAATACTGAAACGATGGAAATCATATGGTCAGCAACTTATGGCTCATCCGGAAGCAACGGAAGGTATAGCAGAGGAGGTAGCAAATGTTTTAGATTCTGAACCCGGCGTGTTAAGAGCAGAAGTTGAAGCAGCCCTTAATAAACTTAAAACATATAAATCCCCAAGGTATACTTAACACTTGAAATGATCACCGCTACAGGAGAGACAGATGTAACATTACTGTACACACATGTACATGGCCAGAGGACTGGACAACCTCTGTGTATATTCCCCAACATAAGAAAGGTTCAAAAGAAATTTGCACGATCGCGTTGATACCTCATGCGAGTAAAATAATGCTACAGCTAATTCTGGAGAGACTTAAGGTACACCTGTTGCCCGAGGAACCCAAAAAACAGACCGGATTTGTTGCTGGTCGTGGCACCAGAGAGCAAATCCTTAATATCTGGCAAATAATAGAAAAATCACGAGAGTTTAATGTCACTACCTCTATCTGTTTTATAGACTATAGCCAAGAGTTTGACCGTGTTAGATGGCAGGATATGTGGGAGTATCTCTCCCAAATGGGTACCCCAGAACACCTGACTAAACTACTAAAAGGCCTATTCGAAATAACACTGCGAAAGTCGAAGTCAATCTGGGATTGACCGAATCCTTCCGCGTTGGTAAGGGAGTAAGGCAGGGCTGCGTTGTGAGTCCACTTTTTTTAACATCTATGGCGAGTATATAATTCGCAAAGTCACAGAATGTTGGGAAGGAGGTATCTCTGTGGGTGGTAGGACGAATAATAAACAATCTTAGGTATGCTGACGATACTACTTTATTTGCCAGCAACGAGCAAGAACTAATGGAACTGTTGCAGTGAGTCGAGATGGCTAGTCGCGAGGCAGGACTGACCATTAACAGATTAAAGACAAAGATAACGAAATAAATCAAGGAAATAAATGGTATATATGTCGTTAATCAGTTAGTGTATCTTAGTTCTCTCATAACGAATTCAGGGGGGTGCACAGCGGAATTGAAAAGGCGTCAGCGGTAGCCCTGTCTACAAAGATGCGACTCATCAAAACCTTGGTATTCTCAGTCTTCATTTGTGTATCGGAGTGCTGGACACTCAAGGAAACAGACAAACGTGCTATTGATGCTTTTGAAATGTGTTGCTGACGAAAGATGCTGGGCATATCAAGAAGAACGAACGAATCAATTTTAAATCAGTTAAAGATTAAAAAAAGGGTGCACTCCATCGTCTCCGAGTGAATTACATCCTTTTTTGGACATGTTGTCAGAAGAAACGGACTGGAAAAACTCACTATTCAAAAAAACTCATTGTCAAAGAAACCGGAGTACCGCTCAACGAATGTTTTATATATATAAAAGCTTTTGCTGGAAAATGCCTCAATTTCATTTACAGGTAGCGAATCACCTATCTGCATTAACAATGAATATTATTTCGCCTTCGCGGATCCTGAAGATTGTTCCACATTCTACATGTGTTTCGGTAGGAGGTTAGTCAGCTTGAAATGTCCCTACAGCTACTTTTGGGACGAGGAAAGAAAGACTTGCAGGTGGAACAGCCTGGTGGATTGTAAATCGAGGCCAAAACCTGGGTTTCAACAACCAGATGTAGCCGTGCGTAAAATTGATTCAGGTATAAGAATTTGAAATCTACATCGCAAATTCCCTTTTCAAATCGCTACTCTAAAATACCACTGGTCAGACGTTCGCAAAATCTTACATTAAGGGTTCGTTTCCTTAAAGGCTGTTGCGGACCACTTCAATTATTTTCGATACTTCACACCCGGCTAATATATTCGTACTAACGGTAGCAGAAAAAGTGTAGTCGGCAACAAGATTATAAAATTCTTAAGACGCTCGCTCCGCTGCGCTCTGCTCGTGCATAAATAAACCAAGACCAAAACGTCCTTGCCTGTTGTTGCATAGTATACTAATAAGCTTGTGGGGATGTACAGAAATAGTCTTCCATTTTTGAAAAAAACTATTTAATGTCAGTAATATAGCCGGTACGATTTGCGATGTCATAGTCGGCTATAAAACCAATGCAGAACGTGCCTCAGTGTTTTACCTGCTTCCAGTCGTATACTAAGGATGACAAAACACACCCATTTACTTGTCAGTGTTCTACCTCTGTTACGCCAGTGTCGTACACCAGACAGAGATAGCACGAAATACCGGAGAATTATAGTAGCTTCCACTACAAAACAGGGTTGCATATTTGAAAAACTACTGCCGAAACTCGAAAGTCCGTCTTTAATTATTATGGATAATGCGCTAGTCATTCTAGACTTAGTGAAAGTGTACCAAATGCATCAACAAGAAAAGAAGAAATTATCAATTGGCTCCGCAGTAAACGGATTAATTAATTACCCAGAAAATGGTCTAAAATGTGAGTTAAAAAAAATTGTCAAAAATTACAAAACAATGCCGTATGCTACAGACGAAATAATTTTATATTGTAAGTGAGGCAAAGCAGCTTCCCAGATAGTTGCCAAGGAAAATTTTATCAGTTGAATTAATAACACATACAGAAAATATTATAAAGGAATAATGATTATTAATGTAGACACAGGGTCGTTTTCTGATAGTAGAAGTTTCATTTGTGGGTCTCATGATGAAGATATTTCACAAACACAAACTAAAAATGATTTATTTGTATAAATAATCTTGGAAAATTATATTTTATAGGGTATGGTACCTATATCTACTATCAATATTTGATTTAACAAATTATCATAATTTTTTCATGCACATTCGGCTACTTAAATATTCACATATCATACTAGTTAATTTAACAAATGCCTAGTACAACTAATTCTATCTCTCTTACTCCCAAGTAATATAATTGTGATCGTTAGTGACGGCTGTCTTAAATTCGTCAGATAAACATTTAGGGCGGAACAACATCTGTCGAAGTAAAAGTAGAGGCAAGATGAACAATCTGTTTTATTCTGTCTGGCATTTTATTGCCATCACAAATCGTAGCGACTATATAAACATTAATTTGGCAACGAACAATATTTAACATTTTATAAAATAACACAACAAAAGCATTAAATTAGTAAAACTCTTCGATAATTAATTATATCCACCACCAAAAACTTTTAAAGACAGCTCAGCAAATCACTTTTTTAAGTTATTATGGAGCTGTTATAGACTTGTTCAAACTATAATAAATAATTTCGTTTTTTTTTTCAAAAACAGCAAATTAGGGCAACAGATCTATGTAAATCTACGTAAAATCGCCAAAATACAATTTTGTTTTCTATAAACCACCTTGTTTTTGACATTTTTCGATATTCAGTTTTACATTTTCCCAAAAAAAAATTCTCCCCATGCACAACATTTAACATAGAGTGGTTCGATTGTGGCACTTAACGACTATTTGATCGAATTTTCCAAGTAGCAATTCATAAAAAAATATTTTAGCTAACGCGATCTGCAGGACGAATCGGAATGATTACGTTGGAAATCCAAACGACTGCTTCACCTATTTCTCTTGCTTTGGTAGAAGTCGTCAGTTGCTTAAGTGTCCTATGCAACACGTATTCAACAATAATTTAAAAGCATGTGTTGCTTTATTACCAGGAGTCTCCGAAACACCGGGTAGTTGCGGAATGATTAAAATATAAGCACAATGGCAGGTACATTGTTACAATTAATACGACGTCTATGCAGCAAAAAGGATACACTGTTAAATTTAGCAATTTTATTGTACCGGTGAATTTTATTAAACAATTAAGAACTCAACATTTTCTTCTTTTTCATCCGACATCACGCTAGTCCTTACCCTTATCTGCGATAATACGTAACCGCACGCTTCTGCGCATGGGATGACGATTCCGTTTGTCACGCCCTTTACAAAATTCCTTGTAGCACCACAAGAGATCTTCCATAACCTCAAGCACGGGTTAAGACACCAAATATACTAGAAAACATTTGATATTTTTAGTTTGATATTTGAACTATGGCAGCGAAATTTCACCTGGAACGAAATGCAAGCGAAACACGCACCCATGATACAAGATACCACGGGAGCGCACAAAACAGTAAAACATATATAGACAACATTTCTGGATAATTTGAAACAGTGCTGGCTGACGCTCCAGGCACATTCCGGACTTCTGATAGACCCTGGCTCTCCAAAGATATCACTCCAAGATACCTGAAATGCTCTTATAATGAGAACAATAATTGGCAAAATTTTGGCCAACTCTTGTTGGTGCATCTCATATATAGTGTGAGTTTTGATCGATGTTTCAGATTTAAAAATCCATTGCTCGAGAAAACCGAATCTAAGGAAAAAAGCGTAAAGAAAAACTTTTACATAATTACCATAGTCATAATATATCGCGTCCGATTTATTACAGAATTTTGCATTCCGGTGTTATAACACATATTAAGGGTTTTTTCTGAAACCCTAGTTAGAAATAATTCCAAGAAAAACGAATTCACTAACGATATTAACACCACTTACATAAATTCTAAAAAATGAACGTCGTATGCTGATTATCTATTTCATACCTTATCCCTACAGTTTCTATAGAAACCAAATATTTAGGTTGTTTATTAACATTATTTTTCTTTTGATCGTATTTAGGTCTAGTGTTAAGAAGGTATAGTTATTTTCAATAGTATTTATAAAAAGTATTTTAACAAAAAGTCATTAAAACTGTATATAATTTTAATTATAAATTATTTTTTAATTTAGTTTAATTTAAATTATCAGTTGCGATTTCGTAGGTAGTTAAATGCTAAATAATTAAAAGTCAAAATGTTTTCTTCTCTTACTTTATTTTTTACGCTTTGCAATCAATAAGGTTTGATTTAGAAAAACGGACTAAATTCTTTATTTTTTTTTTTAAATATCAAGTAAGACATGCAATTTTTGAGAAGCCTAAATCAAGCTTACAGAATTGCAAAACTTTATTTAACGAACTCTGTCTGTAAGTTTAATAATTTCCGACTTTCGTTCACTAAACATCGACAAAACTTACCCTGTTTATTTGGTTTTCCAAACACTTAAAGTAAATCCCTCCCGTTTTCCGATATATACAATAAAACGAAAAGTGATATTTTGTGTACATTCCAGCAATCGATTCATTTGCGCAAAATTAAAGCATTTTTTTATTACCATCCATTGTTATGAACGCCATACTAAATCATCGTAATATTAAATCAAATACAAAAATCCAGTGACATTTACAGTGGGTGTTAAGAAAAAGACACAGACAACATAAGCTCGTTTACATTAAAATCGCTTATTTTAAATTTACTGAATGAAATCTAAAGCATAATTTTTTTTCGGTTTTTGCCAAATTGATATTGTTAAATTTTAAAAGAGTTCGTTTCAACTTAAAATTTTGGAGTACTTTGAAAGGGAGCGTTAGAATTTGTTCGTATTATAACATAAATACCCACTTACCTTCACAGATATAAAGTGTGCTACTTTTTTGTCTTATTTCCACCCTCAATTTAGGTTTCGGGTTAAGTAAAAAGTTAAGGGATCTAACCCATTTTTTTGGAATTATCTTTTATTTTTACCGAGAATTAGGTGGATTTGAGAAAAGTATATGGCTTTCTTAAGTTACTTACGAATAGAATCTTAAAATTTAACATTTTCAATTATTTACTACTTAGGGGTATATCACAGAAGAACTGTATTTTGTTATGGTCGTTCTATGCCTTATAACTTATCACTAATAAAAATTTAAATAGCATTAAAACTAAATGTTAATGCCATAATGCCGAACTTAGTAGTTTTGTATCGTTGCAATAAATAAATTAATATAACACCCGTCCTTGGTAAAGAAGATGCCGCGTATGACCAATGTCAGTGTTTAAGCTGTTCCAACTGACTTCGTATAGCCCATAATGGCTGTGAAAAAATCAATAATTGAAACGTATTACCTGTATATGCTGGCTAAGATTACGAGGATCTCGATCCTCTAAGTCAACGATTTCGCTCTCCGACTTCGACATGGCGATCGTATTGCAGTTGTTTTTGGTAGTAGGTTAATAGGCATACTGGAAACACTTTCAGAATATTCACCCCCAGGAGGTCGAACTCATTAAACCTCACGCGAACACCCGGCAAAAATCGAATCAAATTCAACAAGTTTTTTCTGCGCCGGCTTGAGTGGAGCACTTATTTGCATATTCGTACAATAACATTTCCATGTAGACCGCAAAGTAAATAAAATAAAACTAATTTTTTAAAGTTTTCTTTTGCCGATAATGTTGCTGTTGCTACTATAAATCGATTATTTGAATGATCTGGAGTAGATTTTTCTAAGGTTTTTATTTTTAATGTCACTTCTACGAAAATATTGGGTTATTGCACGATTTGTAGGTACGCCCCGCCCGAGCCTTTATTGTTGGAGATACCAAGTTGATATTTTCTAAACACACCTTCAAAAACTTAATCTCACGAAATTTTGAAAGATCTACGCAGTTAATAGCATCATCCTATTTTAATTTTAAAATTAAAATGCATAATGAAACATACTTTTTCTATGTTCATTATTATTTTGGAAAACAGCAATAATACAAATACAAAGTCAACTAAAGCAGAATAACCTAAAAAAATTGTAAACACATCCTGAATTCATAGTCATCAAATTACTGGACATTTCGTATGGCTCAAAAACAACAGGAACATGACTACTGATCCGCGACTCCTACATATTACATATTTTTCAAATTATGAGTAAACAGTTAGAGACCCAAAATTCACTTATGGGATGAATTAGGATTGTACAGAGATGGGCATAAACCATCTTGCAGTTTGGGAATGAATCAGTACAGTTTTCTTTAAATCGCTCTTTAAAAGCTTCATAATCGTGTAACTCTTGTAAAGAAAACTTGACTCCGATTTTTATCATTTCGATCGAAATTATGTACACATGCATTGTTTTCAAGACTGCCAGGTGACTTGGGCCCACCTCGATATATCACATCATCAAACTTTACTAAATTCTGCGTCAACCAAAAGAATCGATAGGTTTTTAAAGTACCCTATCGAGGAAGAAGCAGAAATGGCATCGTTTCCTTGAATGTGAGAAAATAAAAGAAATTTGAACTTCCATAGTGTCTATTGCAGATAATTACACAACTTAGATCGCTGTTTATTACCCGTTATTTTACACTTGATGATGGACAGTAATCCATCTGATCAAAACAGACTAGAAATTAATTTGTCGTTTATCAAACATATATACTATTATCATTGATAGAAACAGAATTACTTTATTTATTTATTTTATTTATTTATTATAATATATAGAGTGATTAATTAATGTAACTCGTTAAGGTGATAAACTGTCCAAACGAAACCAAGTAGTTATTTATTTAAGTCTTTTTTTAAATACAAACTAAATTACTCTTAAAAACATTCTAAATTTTATGAAATAAGACTAGTATATTAGTATTACTAATTTGATCTTTCCAATTACAAATTAATTTTCTTTTAACGGAAAACCAAATGACAATTACTATTTGTTTAATAAATAATTATCACAATATGGAAAGTGTTTAGTACCGGCCTGTGAAACCATATTATTTAGCAAAACAGAATTGTGACAAAAGCAACAAAATATTTTTAAACGTCTACAATCCCACTACAATGGAGAGCGCGGAAATAATCAGAATCGTCACTGATATTAAATCGATTATAATGAACTGTGAATAACTTGGATCGTAAACATAATGATCGTAATCTTACTGAGACTATGTCGGTCCATATTTATAGTCTCCTCGTTGCAGTATACTAAATTAAAATGTCCCTCTTTGTTGCCAACATACGTAAGTTAAGTTTTTATTCATTGCGGTAGCTGCTTTACGTATTTTTTCATTATCTACTTACTGACAGAAAAAAAAAATCCTTTTCTTTCAGTTGATTCTAGTGAAATTCATATTACATTCGTAATGCAGTATATATCATTTTTACAGGTAATCATGTGATATTTCATAATATTTATTCTCCCAGTGTTGATATTCGTGGCAAATGCAAAAGGCTTTGTAGTGTCACAAGAAGATCCAGTACTGCCCGTACAGGAAATCGATCCAGCCAATCCCAATTACATTATTAGAACATTGCCAAACAATGAAGTCGATATTATCGGGTGTCCCAGGCACACCTACTTCGACAGAAATACCCTAACTTGCCAGATCTTCGAAACCTACGCTGCGAAAAAAAATTCGTGGGACCAAGATCCAAAGTCATCGCTGTGCAAAGATGGAAACGGTTTCCCACAACTGGGAATTTTCCCGAATCCCAACGATTGCGGGTAATAACATGTCAAAATATGTTACGCATTTGCTTTAATGCTTCGAATTTGCATTAATTTACTGCTCTACGTACAGTTACTAGAGGTATAGAGGCCCTCCTATGACGATAATAGCGGAACTTGAGAAGCAAATATGAAATAAATTTTTGAGAAGGTGCATTCGACATGTGCTTGCGCGAGATTTAAAATCTTGTTTATAACCAATTGCATTGCGTTATTCAATATATCCACTGACAATTCACGGCAGTACTTTCTCAAAATCAGCAAAGTGTAAGTAGTTAAAAAGAAAATAGCCCAGAATGCAAGCAAGTTTTTTCCGTGGCTCTATCACATGGAGCAACTTGTTCAGTCCATAATTTCTAAATTTAAAGCTGCCAATATTATTCACAAACCAAAACTCTAACGTAGATGATAAGACCAAAATTTGGAAATTATAATAATAACTTAATCCGAAGAAAATAGTTCTCAATATTGCCTTCCCTATTGCAAAATTTTTATTTCATTGCTAGCCTCGGTCTTGAGTTGCGAACTTGCTGTGTGCACTATTTATACACATTACTAATTTCGAAGAGAGTGTCAACAGTATTACTTTTTGCGCTAGTGCTAAAATTGCTTTGCCATTTCGTTAAACACAGAAGTGGAGAATATTTTATTTTAAAACTGTTAAATTTAATTCGGTCGTATAAAAAATATTACGCAAAAATTCGACTTGTATTGTACAATAGGTCATTGATATTTGTGACATGAAAAAATTCGTTTGAAATAGATTCTGATTATTACATTATCATGCTCTTCGCGGCTACTGTTTGGAACTGCCAAAGTTCAGAGATCTCTGGGATTCCAATTTCCTCCAAGGAGTGATTAAATTGTGATCCTGGTTTCAAGGTTTTCTATGGAACTATGTCGTATATATCTTTTGTTAATCTTAAAAACAGATTTTTTTAACGAATTAATGATATTTCTATCGAAACGTAATAATCGGAAACTCAGTAGTCTCAAATTTAATTTTCCAAATCACTGGAAATTTTTATCAAGTTATCAACCAACAGTGAGATTTCGTCAATTCCACTTGAGATAAAACCGTTTGTTTGTGTGCCAGATAAAACATTTGTTCGTAAAACGTCATAAACCCATCAGACTACTTTGGTTTAAGCACAGCGTGGACCAAATCCGACATTTTCAAAGGACAACTCTTATTTTTAAAAGACAGACGAAAAGTAATGCCGGTATCCAGAAATCAAATTTTATAAAATCATTTTGATAACAACTCCAGGTGTAGATCTGCAATAGTTTTAGTTATAGGATGTTTTGTGAAAACGACACGTTTTTATTTCCACGAACTCCAAAGGACCCTAATCAATAGTTTAATTTTCCCAAAAAAGTCGTTTTTTATAAATGACACCCTGTATATTGTTAAATAAGTAGAAAGGGCGAACTAAACTAAACAAATAAAATAGCACCCATAATACTTTAGAACTTTAATCAAGAAGACTTTGGTAGTTGTTATGATTTTGACTGTAAAAACGTTAGATTGTTAGTTTAAGATTGAAAATAGATTTCCAAATCGATGGAAAATAAAAATACCAAATACTGTTATCATTTTCAAGTTTTTTTGTTAACAGGTCCTTTTTGCAATGTGGACCGGGAACGTGGAACATAATGAAATGTGCGCCGGGAACCATGTTCAACAAACAAACCTTAAGGTGCGACTATCCATATCAAGCATGCTGTTGTGAATTTCTCCCCGAAGACGATACCAAACTGGTCGGGCCGGAAAACCTCAGTTGAGACAAAACTGTCGAAATAAAGTGAAAACATTGTTGAACTTATCTTGCATAAAAAATATTTTGGCGATACAACTTTATTGATGATTACTTGATGAAAATCCATTTAACACACTTAAATTAAAACCCAAAATGTTCAGAGTTTCACAGTTATTATAACAAACATGACAATATTTTTACATCTATATAATTATATATATATATATATATATATATATATATATATATATATATATATATATATATATATATATATATATATATATATATATATATATATATATATATATATATATATATATATTAGATTCTTAATTCCGGTGTAAGATTATAAATTTAAATTTAATAACGCATTTGAATTCAATTGGTCATTAAGTAATAGATTCGAATATCTCATTTTGTTGATCTTTATAGCTTCCAATAAATTCAGTTTTTTTCTTTTTCATTATGTAAAATGTCAAAATTATCGTCAAACTTATGTATTTCTGATTTTAAATGAATGGCATAGTTAGAATCCGAAGTTTTATTTTTATACGTTCTTTTATGTTCGTTAATGCGTATCTTAAATGTTCAATCTGTTTGTCAGATATAAATTTTGGAACATGATCCACATTTCAACCTGTACACTCCGGATTTTTGAGATTTCTTTAGTAGTAAATAGATGACGTTTTTGTTTATTTCACTGGAACGGGTAGACAACTGTAGTCCTTTTTGAATCATATTAACTCAATACACAACAGTATAAAATTTACCATGGGGACGGAACTAGATAACTCTTCAAACTTTCTGGACTTCACTATAACTAGATTAGAGAACAAATTAAATTTTTCTATTTAGCATAAACTCTGACACATGGCTGAATTTTATTCTTTTATCCACTGACTTCTTAAGATAGCACTTCCACAGAAAAAGTTGAAAAAGAATTAAGTACGAATAGAAAAAATATCGAACAATGGTTATGAACCCACTTCGAGAGATGAGATTATAACTAAAAAGCAGTTTGAAATAACTCTTTATCTATCCCATATTAAACACCGAACCCTATAAAACAATAAAATATATAGGAGAACCTAGCAAGAAAATTTTGAAACATCTATCTAAATTTGGTCCTAAGACTTTTATATCGGACAAACAGGTAGAATATTTAACGAACATTGAAGAGCGTATAAAAATGGAAGTTCGGATTCTAACTATTAGATTCATTTAACATTAACAAGTTTGTAGCTAATTTTGATATTTTTTCATAATGAATCAAAAAGCAAACAACTAAATTTGTTGGAAGCTATGGAGATTAACAAAATGAGATATTGGAATCCATTACTTAATGACCAATTTTAATTAAAATGCGTCTCCCTTATTCAATTCGAATTTATAACCCTACACCTATAATTAACCTGTTTACATATATAGATATCGGAATATTGTCATGCACGGCTGGCCGAAACAGCTGTCATAAACTAATAAAGAACTGTGAAAATCTGAACATTTTTTGTTCTAATTTAATTGTTTTATTTCTGTTATTTGTGTTGCCTTAATAAAACAAAAATATAATTTTTAAAAATCGGTAATATTTAGGATCAAAAATAAGATTCGAATCGTTAAGTATACAATTAATGCGTGGACACTTTCTCTTCGTATTTATAACGAATTTCGCATTGTGAACTTCTGACTAAAGAAAATAATAACAGTAAATAATCAATTTTCTTTAGCTGCTCCCTTTTAACCGCTAGCAAATTTCCCAACACTTCTTGTGCTCCCAATTTTAGTATATGCAAAATTATGAACTTAATAAACGAGTGAGATAAATAATTTACCAACCGTGTTGCATACTATACTTTTTCTACTACCGCCACGAAAAAATTACAATTTAACAAATTAAAAATAACAGACTATCGGCTTACTAAATTCCATACCTTTCAAACCAAACATTTACTAGTTGCCATTCAACCTATTCGTTTATCGTTCCGATCGGTTCTGCTATTCTTGTCCCTTTTTAACTGTGTACGGTAAACAGAGAGAAATGTATTTTTCTGTTCCCTTCTGTAAAATACCTAATTACCCACCGATCTAGCGTGCGAAAAGCGTCACTTTACCACGTCAGCTTCCTTTCCCACGAATCCGAGCCACTTCGGATATTTCTGGGATTTTACCGCACGGATCTGGGGGCAATCAGATGTTTTCGGAGATATTTCCGCTTTGAATTTTGACGTTTGTCAATTCTGACGGTTATGTCAGTGAATGTATTCGTGTTGTTTTGCGAAAATATGCCCAAAAACTAACGTTCGAGGAAAAATATAGTATGCAACAAGTTCGGTAATCATTTTAAGTCACTCGTTTATTAAACACTCGCTCTGCTCGTGTCAAATAAACTCGTGAGTCAAATGCCGTTTACCGCACGTTGCATAATATACTATTATTTAACTTTTAGAATTGATCATTAAGTAGTTTATTTAAAGAAGAAAACTGTAAATGGAAGAAAAATCATCCAATTATAAAGCTTTTAAGACGATTAAATTTTTATATCGTATAAGCAAGAAAAAGCAGGTCCTAACCTTCAATTTTGTTTTGATTGTGCTGATGAGACATGGGTATTTGAAAATGATACAGCTGGTCTTGGCAAGATATTAATACAAAAAGTGTAAAAACCACTAGTATTCATGCAAACGGTATGTAAAATTTCTGTGGGAAACTTAAATCATAAATTATAAATGTCACTTTACTTACCGACAAGTCCACTAGATTTTAATTGTAGCTTATAGAACGTAGTATTTAAATTGTCTGATATATTGCATACAATTGTTCTGTGTATTAGTTTGAGGGTACACTTTTGCAAAAAAACACGAAAACATTCACTGATATTACCGTCAGAACGAGTGACCTGTAGTATATTATGCAACAAGTGCAGTAAATGACATTTGACTCACGAGTTCATTTGATAGGACCGGAGCGAGTATTTAATAAACGAATGACTTAAAAAGTTTCAAATTCAAGGCGTGTGATATATCTCCGAAGATATCCGATTGCTCCCAAACCCGTTCGGTAAAATCCCGAAAATGTCCCCAGTGTCTCGGATCCGTGGGAAACGAAACTGACGTGGTAAAGTGGCGCTTCCCGCACGCTAGATGAGTGGGTAAATAGGTATTTTACAAACGGGAGTAGAAAAAAGCTATAGGTGGCTATGAACGGGGAGTGTAGTAGTAATGCGTCATTTTGTCGTGTACTCAGAGGGGGTACATACTCATTTTTCCAGTTTGTGTGTGTTTTATGATGTGTATTATTGAATAATGTGCTTTGAATTTAATTAAAGTGATTGCTTCACTAAGCACCGCATGTAAGTTTTTTAGTTCAACGAACTGCGCACTACCTAATACATCGATACTTTTTCAAAATTCCATAACCCCAACATTTAAGCTGCAAGTACTCACCGACAAATACTCTCCTGTTATTGACAGTCTTGTACACTCAAATCAATGAGCGTTGTACCTCGTTTCCCCTGCAGTTGTCTTACAGTAAATTTAAATATCAACTTGTTATTTCTGCTAATAAACGAATGTATTTACGTTGAAAGCGCACAAAATACGAATATTTTGCACGGTGAATTCAGCTATTGAGCCACGCTGCATATAGCGTTTCTGGTCAGTAGCGAAAAAGAAAAATATAAATTAAAACTTCGAAAGCCTGCTATACAATAACGGCAACAGTTTACATTATTATGCTACATTGTTAAACAACCAAAACAGAGTTAATGATTAAGCCTGTACGTATAAAAAAGATATTTTTGAATGTTGGTAGTAGTTAAATGGATTGTATTATTAAGGATACTTTGATTACACAAAAATTCAGCGCCCATCGATATTGAAGTAGAGACCGTGTGTCACCACAATGACTCAAAGGTTTGTAGGATTTCAATAAGAAACTAAGTCATGATTTTGTTAATGTGTATGTATAAATGTAATGTGTGATCTTTTCTACTTAAATATGTTTAAAAATTCTTTACCAGTCATAATCTTCGAAGCTAAAAAATTATACATTGCGACATTTACACTATCTCTATCCCTACTTACTTCTACTTCATAAAGATAAATAAATTACGTATGTATAACTGAGAATTTCTCCCAGAAAACAATTGTAGAATATGTCATATACAACAATTTGAAAACACATCTGCACAATCTTAAGTCACAGTATTATTCGTCTGTTTCCGCAACGTACAAATTCTGTTTTTAGACATCTACTATTCTCCGAGTCCCAATTAAAATCTTTTATACACACGAAATGATAAACCTTGCCATTAATACATTCGTAAAATCTGGAACAGTTCTCAAAGTCTGGAAAGTAACTGATTCCATCCGATGCACATTCTGGAGAGCGTTTAAGTAAACTGGTGCAATTAACATCTTGATTAAAACTACACCCAATGATCTCTGGATCCCATACCTGACCTGAAGGGCAGCTTCGATGGCTGCTTTGGCCATTCAGGCATTCATAAAATTTATTGCAATCATCCGGATCAGGAAAGAAGACCACTTTATTTGGTGGACATTCCGGATATGGTGCTTTGAAACAAAAGAGATCAATTAGTATTAGAAAAGTAATACGCTTACATTTTGCTTCAAATGATTGACCAAAGTTTTATATTAAGTTCATCCGGTTCAGATTGATATTCACTTAAAGAAAATATAAATAATATAGAATTGTAGATACCTGCTGTTGTTGACGATGTTGTGGATGTTGGTGTGGACGTTGTCGATGATGTTGTGGATGTTGATGTTGACGTGGTCGACGATGTTGTGGATGTTGTTGTTGACGTTGTGGATGATGTCGTGGATGTTGATGTTGTAGACGCCGTTGTCGATGTCGTAGATGTCGTAGTCGACGTTGTTTGTTGTGTATTACCTAACAGCAAGGACGCTCATTTACAGAAATCATGGTTACCCAAATGAGAGATAGTTGAGGCTAGTTAAACGCATAGAAAGAAAATATCTTACCTAGTGTAAAGTAAATATTTAGAATCAGCCAAATTTTGCAAATGAAAATCATTTCTGAAAAATGTCTAGACTAAATAACGCACGCAACCTTTGTAGTCACACCGATAAATCAAATGCACTTATAATTAGATTATCTGTTTGCACTTTTTAAATTATATTTTTCGAGAACCATTAGGAGTGGGAAATGTACTTTGCGTGGACCAGGATGATTTTATCGTTAACACTTTTATTGTCATGTTGTTACGAATATAATAAACATTATAGGGTATCCAAAATCCCATACACAAAGAGAACACAAGACTTCTAAAGACGCAAAAGGATGTTGAAAACCAAAATGTTAAAAAGGACATTGTGCATTTTTTTTCAAAAAAACTTTCATAGGATTCTTACTCAGTTTCACTTAAGCTGCGAGGAAGCCAACAGGCAACAATATTTATCTATTTTAAAAGTGATTTTTGAGCAAGTAACTTTACCAAATTTCACTTTTTTAAAAAGTTTTTTGTAACAAAAAAATATTTTACTCGCCATATAATAAACCGTGACTTATTTATCTATTTCTAGGTTTGAATTTATGGGTTTGTCTCAGAAATTTCTTATAAAAAACTGCAAATTTCCAGTGTAGGTGCAAAGAAATACTCGCACCTCAAAAAAACGAAGGATTTGAAGTAAGGGTAAAAGCCATTTGGAAAACTAGGAGCTGTTTGAAAAAGCAAACTTTATTGATTAAAATAAAAAAAATGTGCCAAACCAGTTAGCTATTTAGATACCTTGAATAAAGAATACGAAAAACTACCTACTACTAACTACTGACTACTACTGGCTGATTAGATTATTTTAAATTAAAATAAAAGTTCAATTGACCATTAGTATTATTACACATTATTTTATATTTTAAACCAAATAGTTCAATAAAAAATTAGTGGTGTAAACTTATGACATGCTGGGTCTCAGTCCACAATCTACGTTTTCCGTAATAAGACATTCTTCATGATCCGTGCTCCAACTTAACTGATCTGGACAAGTGAGGTGTCCAGTTTTTCCATTAATACATATGTAAAATCCGGAACAGTCTTCAAGATCCGGAAAGTAACTTACTCCCTCCGATGGACAATTGGGATAATGCTCTACAAAAGAATCAACAATTATTAGTAAAAATTTCATAACCAATATTTTTATTTATTCTATTATATTAACAACGCTGTTTCTGTATTATATTACCTTTTGGTCTACTGCCACAATTAACTTCATGGCTAAAATTACAGGCAACAAACTCTGGGTCCCAGGACTGGCCATCTGGACAGCGATGTTTACTGATTTGGCCATTGACGCATTCGTAAAATGAGGAACAGTCCTGCGGGTCCGGATAGAACTCCACTTTATTTGACGTACAGGTTGGGGAGGATGCTTAGTATGATATGGAAAAGTGGTTATTAAATTCCCCATTAAAATAAAATACATACGTCAGTTCATAGAATACCTGGGGTTGTTGAAATTGTAGTTGCTGATGTTGTTGTCATTTGCCGTGTTGGTGTTAACGTTTGGGTTGTCCATATCGTTGTGAGTATTTCTGAATCCTAAATAAATATAAATATGGATACGATAGGATAAGAAATAAATGCTTTTGGATTGGGAAGGAAATGAGCCGATGAAAAGCAAACTAGTCTAAATTATTTCTTTCAAAAGAACGTCAATATCACTTTGCGCATTCTCTAAAACGGGATCGATTGTAACTCTCAGAAAATTTTGTAAATGAAGCATTGCATAGCAATATCTCGCAGTGTTATTATATTTTTTCGTTATACGATTTCAGAAGTCTCTTAGAGAAATGATTTAGTCCATATTCTGTTAGTAAAGTAAAAATAATTTAAATCAATAATTTTATATTGTTTTTGGAATTATAGCAAATTAGAGCTTATATTTTTGATAAAAAAAATATTACTTGAACTATTACCATATATTAATAAAACAGAACTATTTTTTTATTTTGTAAAGCGCGGTTAAGTTAAGGAAAATCTATGTAAAATTTAGTATCAAATTGACAATGTTGGTGGGAATTAGTTTAAACGATTTAAACAATGATATACTTATATAAATATTTTTAAATTACTAACCTACCTCTCCACCGACGAAGCAGATAAGTGAAATATAAAAAATATTATGGAAATGATACATGGCGATACTTGCGATGCACTAAACAATGCACTCTATAACTGTAGTTTTATACCGAGCATCTATTAGGCATGGCGCTTATCTATTTCAAAATCATGAGAAAAGATAATGCTCCCCTAATTTTCAATCTTGTTAATGTCACCTTACTATCTGACCCGTACTCAGGTATTTTATTTCAGTTTTTTGATAAAGAACACTTTATTAAATAAAGTATGCAACAACTGCTGTTTTTAATGTGCTGCTTCCAAAAATGCTCTAAGATTTTTTCTATCGGCTCTAATTTTTGAGATACAAGTTAATTGATATTGGTTCTAATAAAGGACAAAATGTAATATTCAAAATAGAAAGAAAGTTCTTACTTGAATTTTGTTATATTGAGCCAAATATGCACCTGAGATTGTCTATAACCAAATCTTCCTATACTTGCTTTACCGGCACTACCAATTTTTTTAAAAATTAAATGCGAGATAGGTATTACATACGCTAAATGGATTTTGTGTGAAATTTGTCACGAATTCGAAAATGGATTAAAAAAATGGTATTTCATTAAAAAAAAAAAGTCGGTATAGACCTCTTTTTTTTTGACCCACCCAGTATATATTTTGTTTACTGAAAAACATGCGCAAAAAAAATTCGCAGTCTACTGTATACTTATACCAAAACTAAAATTAAAATGTATTCACAATTGCATTTACGTGCATATGCGTGGATTCTAAAGTCATCCACAAAACATCTCATCATTGCCTTATCTATGTAAAACATTTCACAATTTTTAATAAACACAGTGATTATCAGTAAAAATGTGTTTTCCTATAAACAACTTGAATGTTCGATTCCAAGTGCGTTAAAAAGGTTGGTAAATTTTAATGTTGGTTAAATTAACAAATTCATTAGTCAACTTTTTAAGTTTTCAATAACGAGTACCGACACAGAAGATAAAAATAGCCTTTTACAGTTCCTAGAAAAATGATCTATTAAAAAAAGCTGAAAACTATAGAAAAATGTTGATTAATAACATTTTTTATTGAAGAGTTTGGCGACTTAAATTGCGGGGAGTTGCTTTGTTAAGTTATGCTTTAATCGCTCAGCAATTTTTGTAAGTTAAATTAAATTAAATGAAATTAAATTAATACGGCAGGTCATAGCTTAATTATTGTAAATGATTTTTTTTCAAAGGACACCTTAAAAAAATTGAACTAAATATATTTTTTTAAACGACAATCCTAGTATTTGTTAAAATTTTGTAAATACCTACTAATAAAATAAAAAATGCGACTTAAAAAGGTGTTATTACCACTAACATGAGTCAATAGCATATTCTGCAGCAAGTGTAGTAAACGGCAATTGAGAAACGAGCGGAGCAAGTGCTTAATAAACGAGTGTCTTAAAAAGTTTACCAAACGTGTTACATCCTGTACTTTTTCTATGATCATTCGTTTCTGGGTATATTTTCACTAACATGGCCGTCAGAATTGACAAACGTCAAAATTCGAGCCGTTGGCAATATCTCTGAAAACATCCGATTGCTCCCAAACCCGTGTGGTAATATTCTGGAAATGTCCAAAGTGGCTCGCATCCATAGGAAACGAGACTGATGTTGTGAAATGACACATTCCGAGTGTCAGATTAGTGTATAATTGGATATTTTAGATGCATTTTTATTCAGAATGTTTTTTTCTACTCCCTACCCTAAATTATCTAATTATCCACTTATCAAACGTGCGCAAGGAGTTACTTTTAATATGCCAGCTTCGGACGCGTCCGGTACTTTGGCCACTGGTTTGAGAGCGATTTGAGGGTTTCGGTAATTTTAAGTTACTTAGGATATTTTGACATTTGTCGGTACTAACAGTCACGTCACACGTCACCCATTCAATGTATTACGCTGTTTTGCAAAAATTTAACCAAAGACTAATGCTCATACAAAAAGTATAGTATGCATCCCGGCTGAAATGGCGTTTATCAAATTTGTTCCATAATATATCATTCTTAGTTTGTAATGGCCATTACACATTACAAAATTGGAAATTAATATTTGCTCTGGTTTAATAGTTGATGTGTCAACACAGACATGTTATCGACAAAATCTGGATAATTGTCAAATTAATATTGTCAAATTAATATTTGCTCTGGTTTAATAGTTGATGTAACAACACAGACATGTTGTCGACAAAATGTGGATAATTGTCAAATTAATATTTGCTCTGGTTTAATAGTTGATGTATCAACACAGACATGTTATCGACAAAATGCGGATAATTGTCAATAAGCATTTTTTAACTATTTGCTTAATCATACATACTACGCGAGTATATAAGCATACATATTTCTTAAAGTAATTATTGTAACATACAGGTTTAACAGAATGTTCTTTCGGATATGGAAGTTAAAAGGGATTTGTTATTACATTTTTATATTTAAAATAAAACAGAAACATATCACGTGGAGTTAACAAAATACATTTTCGAGTAACATAATTTTTTTATTTCGCAATCACTTGTGAATTGCTTATCTATCCATCCATCAAGCAGAAACTTACTTGTGGAGATTAAATGCACTACATACTTATCCCTCAAATTTTTAATAAACTAAACATATATAAATATAACAACCCACAACAATGTTACATCACAAAACTAAACAAAATTATTTGAAAATGTCCCGAATTGTAACTCTAATGTGGCTGGCTCTTTTCTTCGGTGCCTATTTGGGTTAGTACTTACGGTAGGATAAGAAAAAATAGTATGGATCATTTATTTATAATTTCAGCTGCGAGTATATGCAGTGAAGGCGAAAATGGAACATACAAAGCCGACGCAACTAATTGCACGAGATTTTACGAATGCTCCAACGGGGACGCCACCCTATTCGAGTGTGAACCCGGTACAGTTTGGAATCAAACCGCACTTTCCTGTCAGTGGCCAGTAAATACAACATGTATTTGTTGTTAATGCACTTTTATTTGCGATGAATGACTTTTATGACTTAATAAAATAACTATTATAGCTGGATTTTTTTGTAGCATTTTGGCCAAGTTTACAGAATATATAAGTGGCCTCACTTTCCCTATACTCTACCTAGTTTCTTAATGCTTAATAGAATAATAGAATGAGAGGTTTCCGTATTTCAGTTTTTAAGACTTACACACCGTCAATCGTTACAACTTTGCATACGATAGAAAGAGGAATTTGGGGAATGAAATTAATGTCACAGCTGCGTTACAACATATGGTTTATTAGACCAATAAATATAATAATAATTATACGTGATTATAATTATAGAATAATTCAGATTTTAATTATACTTTTTTTAATTATTATTATTTTTTTTAATTATTAATTTATTATTAATTATTAATTTTTTAATTATAGATGAATTGAATAGAATAATTAGAGTCCAGAGTTCAATAAAGGTGGCATTATCCATGAGTAAAACAACATCAAACATGTCTTCATGATAATCCATAGTCTCCAGTGAGTTTTGATTGAGATGTTAGGAAGCCACCACCTACAAAGTTATTTTTGCTACCGATGTGAGTTATTATGAATCTTTAATCTGTTCGCGACGGTGCTTTTATTCCAGCCGGCCATCTTTCTATGAAGGCTTGACTCCCGCTTGTTAAATCTTACCGTGTTTTACGAATCGCATATCGTTCATTTACAAAGGTTTGTATAGATAATAGATTTTTGTTTTCCCTTCAAAATTGTCTGACTGCTGAAAAAACTAGATATTTACGTTTTTAAATCCATTGCACTGAGTATTATACTCAGTCTTATCTTTCTGATAGAAAGAAAACGGGTTTTTGCAATAGTGAAAAAACATTTGAAACATTAAACCCGAATCAGTGGTTTACAGCCAATCACCTAAAATTAAACGTAGTTAAAGCTCAGTCGTTAATGTTTTCATCAAATTTAAATTTTTCGGAAGGGAAATCTGAGGAATTATTGTGTGTGGTCCTAGATGATATGACCCCCCATTTACCACTTGATCATAAAAAATTAATCTATATATATTTTTTATAACTACTTATGATGTAAAATTGACCCCTCAAACGATTTTTTCAAATTTTGATTTTAACAACATTTTTTTATAATAAAAATTTTAAGCACTTTTAATTAAAAAAATAAGTTAATTAATTAAATAAACTTATGAAGTTTTCAGCATCCATGGTCAAATATATTATCGACTTAAAATTATTTGTTTATTTTCGTATTGTTATCTAACTTTTAAATTAACACATGCTTTACACATTTAAGTTTAAGATTTTTTAAGAAATTTCATTGCTAGTCATTAGTTTAAACAAAATGAATTTATTTATGACAGCGCGCCGGGCGCCGCGGAAGCGCCGCACTGCCGAGCGTATTGAACTGCATTAAAGGTTTTCTCAGTGAAAAATTAATATAATAATACAAAATATTATTATAAAACAAATTTTATTTTTATTTGTGTTATTTTATTATTATTAATGATTATCAATAAAATTTTATTTTTTTTAACATTGTTATAAAGAATACTATGATTTTTTTAATTATTTTTACCAAACAGAGTAAATTTAGAGAAAAATAATCAACTTTAAGTCGGCTAGCAAATGCACTATGGTTCCTGTTAAACTTTCCGCATTTAAACTTTGGTGTAGTAGCAGATATCCCAGTACGGAGAGGCGAATCTGGGAGACTTTCTATATCAATATTCAATAACACTTTGTATATGTTTTTATACTATCACTATTTTACTATCATTTTATTTGTATCGTCGACAACAATTTCTTTTTTCTAGTCCCCTAAATGTTAAAAAGTTATCTAATTACATTAAAGACACCTGTTTATATCATTGATCTAATTGTCTGCTTACCAGGTGTTTTGAAAGTTTCTCAAAATTAAAAAAAAATCTCACAAAATTCTTGTGCTTGAAATAACTGTACTGGGGTAGTTAAAAGTGCAATGACAGAGTTTTTGAATAATTTAATTGGAATAGAAAACTAAAAATTCTACTATTTTTTGAATGAAAACCTTTTATATTTTATAGTTTCTTAACATTTGGAATATATGTTTCATAACTTCTCAGCACTGAACATTTGCTGCATTGTCACACGATAAGATACTTTCATTCCAGTAGGTTCCGCTGGGACAATGTTGGGCAATACCTTTTCCGCCATTACATTCGTAAAATATTGTGCAGTCGTTGGGATCTTCAACAAAAGTGCCGTCCGGTTTATTTTGACAAACTGAATCTAAAAAAAAGAAAACATTTTTGACGTGTAAAGGTCGACGAATAGATGCAAAATACAATTTATGTATACATTTGCGAAAAATAAAAGTGTTAATTGTTACCTGCTGGAGATGCCGTTGTGCTCCGGCTGGTTGTAGGTGATGCTAGAAAGAAAGATAATGAAATTTTCGGAGGTTAGGTATGACGGAAAGCGCTGTATCTACAAATTGCTTTATTATTATCATTATATCATTAAATTCCCAGACAATGATTAAACAACAAAAATGCCAATTTATCGTATTTAAAGAAGATCTGTACAAAATAAACAGATTTAATTACTTCGTTTCCAAGATACGTGATGGCAAATAAAAAGAAAAAGACAATTTATTTCACTGTTGGCCTTATATTAGGATATTAGGATACGTGTTATAATTTTGTACACGCCTTATATATTTTATCTTATAGCCATGGTCAATATTTAAATTAATGAAACCAATTAGAGTAAAGAAGAACAGAATTGAAAATATTTTTAAAAATGCTTTGGAAGCAAATTATTAAACATACCATTTTTATAAAATGAAAATTTTTTCACATTTGGTTCTGGTATTCGCTGAATATGAAGAATGTTTATCTAGCACAAAATTTTTAAAAAATGTAGATACGCCACATTATGTTAGGAGCTCTCGTAAAAAAGTTTTACCCGATGATGTCGATGATGACGGTTGATTTGTACTGGACTTGGTTACCGCTAAAATAATAAAAAAACTAGCTTTAGATTTAACAAATTCAAATTAACAAGTACTACTCTATGTTTCTATTGTATAACGTACCAGTTGTTGTCGATGATGTTGATTGACTTGTACTGGATTTGGTTGCCGCTAAAATTATAATATACTTGTCAAAATTATACCTAAAAACCTCCCAGTGAATTTTGAAAGACTTGCAAGATATCAACCATTTTTTAATACGCGCATTGAATTTGCAACAAATATCAGTAGCAGAAATTGTAATCAAAATTCATGATCCTGTGTTTAAAAAAGGCCAAAAAGTTGCTATGGATAAAGTATCTGCTTTACTAAAAATAGCTTGATATAGTTTTAAATGCTTCTTAAATATCTCTGCAACACATATCAATACTCACCACCACACGAAAACATCAGCTTAAAAGTACCAGGAACTCAAATTATCGAGTGTGAAGTATTATAGATACAATTGAAAAGGTAATGTAGTTTGTCAAGAGAGACAGAGAAATATTAAAATTATGGAGCTCTCTCCAAATTTACTGAGGGTTTTTAAGGTCAAATTTAAATACACTGTACATTTGAATACGACGATAAAGATAACTTACATCCGCCGCAATTCACATTTTCCAAATAGTCACAGTTATCGCTAACGGTATTCCAGTACAAGTCGGGAGGACAATCCATAAGATATTTGTTTCCCTCGTAACATTCATAGTATTGGGAACAGTTGTTCGGATTTGGATAGAAAGTTACATTGTGGGATGGATATGGGCACAACGGGTCAGGTGCCCAAGATCCTTCTAAAATTCAAAATTATCAAGGTTATATGAAATATGTTTATAGAAAATATAATTAAAGAAATGTTGCCACTGGAAGTGGATTTTGGATAATGAAAAACACAATTACCAGTTGTCGGTGTTGTACTCTTCCCAGTTGTGGCCGTTTGAGCTAAAATCAGATTGAGCTTGTTATACCTATACTCGTCGCACATAAATTAGAAGTACAGCAAAATTGCACATATGGCAATCGGAACTTTATAAGATGTCTTAATTATTGTGAAATGTTAATACAGCATGGTTTTCCAGGTTCAATGTCATGTAAAGAGCAAAAATGTTCATGAATTTTAATGCTATTTTCTATTTGTTTGTTGAAAGCATCAAATGGCATTTTTTGCTCCAAAATATTTTACTTTTTTTAAGTAGCATCCGCATCATCTTTAAAAGAAAAAATCAGACCTCCAAAACTAAAAATTATTTCCGAAATTCGATGTCAATTATTTTTTTATGTAAAACTCTGAAGTTAGCCCATAATTATGTTCAATTATCAGAATGCGAAAATTAAATGAGTCTAATATAAATTTCACAATCAGTGATTTGCTAAGCGTTGGAAGCAGTTCGTTACTATGTTTGTTTCTTCATTTCTTCATTTCTCACAGCCGAGAAATGTATTAATGATGTCATTTAATCTAAAAGCTCTTATTAATACACATTATTTTCTAAAACATGCATTATACAAAGCTCTACCTACACAGGTGCTTTATTAAAATTTGGTTTTGATAATTCATTAATAGACATTTACAATACCAGTTTAATTAATTAATACCTGATATTAATTTTTGAATACCCTCTTAGAGTAACAAAATTAGCACGTGTACGGAAATGCAGTTTTTTGGAAGACCTCTGAGGCTATACCGAATATACAAAATAAAATTATTTCTTAAATTCGGTGTTACTTTTAGTCTTTATTACCTTTTAAATAATTGAAAATACAAACTTTGATTATAATTTTTATTTAAAAATAAATACCGAACTTCAAGCAATCAAAATGAAACACGCCATATGTGTGATTACGAGCAGATTTAACTTACCCCTTGTACAATCGACATATTCCAAATAGTCGCAGGAATCACTAACGGTATTCCAGTACAAGTCTGGAGGACATTCCATGCTATATTTGTTTCCCTCGTAACACTCGAAGTAGTGGGCGCAATTATTAGGATCTGGATAGAAGGTTACATTGTGTGAAGGATATGGACAGAGGGGATCAGGGGTTCGTATTGTTTCTGAAATCATACAAAATGTGTCTGTACAGCTCCATTCAAAAAATGTAAGGCAAAGAAAGGTTTAACTCTGATTAAAATCAATTTAAGGAAAAAAAAGAAAGGAATTTGTCAAATCAGAGTTAAACCTTTCTTTGCCTTACATTTTTTGAATGGAGCTGTACAGACAAATTTTGTATGATTTCAGAAACAATACGATCAGGGGTTCGTATTGTTTCTGAAATCATACAAAATGTGTCTGTACAGCTCCATTCAAAAAATGTAAGGCTAAACCTTTAACTCTGATTTGACAAATTCCTTTCTTTTTTTTTTCCTTAAATTGATTTTAATGAGTTGAAAATTGACGTCTTAACCTTGCTTTTTATTGATTTTTATTTAAATAATTCAATAATCATTATGTGAAATAACGATTTGTGCGTGTCTATGAGTTTGGAATTCGAAATTGACGCACATAGAATGTGGTTATAAATAATGTTAATAGCAAAAGCGATTTTTGTAGAAATGATGCAGATGAATATTAGGTTATTGAAATCTATCAAAAAGGAGTCCAGAAAGTTCCACGTAATGTTTCTTTTTTTTTACTTTACAATCCAATTTATTTCATCTTATTATCAAAATTACCTAAATTTCACTTCATATTGAAAATTATGCTTACCTTCGGAGGATTCCAATGAACTTACCGCCGCTGCTGAAAAAGAATGAATAATATATTAATTATAATATAATAAACTTTATTGTTTATGATAAATAATACTGTACCAAATATAAAGATGTAAGAAAATTTGCGTATAAAATATATGCGCATAATATATGCTATATTATCATTTCATATGCAGGGTCGGTTATAAAAATGTGTCATAGTATGATATTTAGCAGCTGTATACAAAAGAGCGAACAAAAATAACAGTAGCCATTACATAGAAAAAAATCGCATTCCTTACTAACAAAAAAAAAGACATAATCAAACAAATAAAGATTAATGTGGAACCATTAAAGCGTAACAATGAAGTTAAGCAGGTAAGTGAAAGAATCCTGTGTGCGGTAGACGTGAATTATATACTACTCATTTGTTTTCACTAATAGTACTTACCGATAAATATACCCAAAAATGTTGACATGTAAAACTTCATTTTAAGCGCGTTCAATCTGTTTAGCAAGAATAATTATGGCAGAGTTAAATATATTTGATTATATACGATTATATATACATGTGTTTATCTGATAGCATTGAACAAAAATATTTGCAAATAAATGGCTATCAGAGTTCGATAAATCAGATTGGCGGTCACTACTTCCTTTGGACAATAAACAGCATTCACGATTTAAATTCAACCTTCTGGAGACTGTTTATAGGAGTAGTTTTTAAAACGCCCGCAGGAGGGAAAAAATCCTAGAACGATAATAAATTTCAAGAAAAATATGTATTTAATCTTTGATATCCGAAACCTCGGACATTTCACGTTATTTCTGTCATTTCGTGATTGATTGATTCGATTTCACTGAAATCGGGCAATTTTTAAGTGTTTTTTCATTCAAATACCTATCGTTTGTCGTGGTTGTTTGGTGTTATTTGTTACGATTACCCAATCAATAATATCCGGAAAAAATGTGCTACAGCTATCAAACATCCTGTCACTGCACTGTGTGAAATAAATAAATCAGGAATTCAACATTACAATAACAAAGTTTATTGTCGCAAAATGTCATAATAGCAAACATTGCTTGTTCTAAGCTGCTTTCAATTTGATGGCAAAAAAGTTGACATTCTCCTTAATTTGCTAATTATTGTACTTAATAAAAATGAAAAAATATCGAGTAACTTATAAGTAACTATTTTTTATTACTAGTGTTATAAGTGGGATTAAAAAATATCGAGAAAAATACTAAGCATATTTGTGTTGACAAAAATTTCCACAGGTACCTCCTTAAGTTTTGCATTGCAGCAAACTCTTCATATGAAAACAGCTATACGCAAGTAGAACATCCTCTTCCTGCTATTTTAAACTCTGAAAAGACACTGCCATATAACTTTTGTCAAGAAAGCCGAATCAAAAAATTAAAACTAGAACTATACCGTCAACATCTTTCCTATACATATTATATCTAATAGATTTGGATGTTTTTTTTTTAATAGTATATTATGCAACAAGTGCGGTAAACGGCGGTGCGGAGTGAGTGTTTAATAAACGAGTGAGTTAAAAAGTTTACCGAACGTGTTGCATACTTATACTTTTTCTACGACCTTAATTTTTGGGTACATTTTCGCAAACCAACACGAATACATTCACTGACATGACTGTCAGAATTGACAAACGTCAAAAGTCAAAACGTGGGAAATATCTCCGAAAACATCCGATTGCTTCCAAATCCGTGAGGTAAAATCTCGGAAATATCCGAAGTGGCTCGGCTCCATAGGAAACGAAACTCACGTGGTAAAGTGACTCTTCCCGCACGCTGGATCGGTGGGTAATTAGGTATTTTACAGACGAGAGTAGAAAAGGAAATTAGGGTTTACATAATTAGACTTGGCAGAGAAAGCATCACAGAATCCTGGACAACAGGTAATTCACATTCTTTGGTATTTTATACACACCTACGCTTTTGGTAGTTGCACCCTCTAGCGGCTTCTGCCCAAACATAACCAAAATACGAAATAATGGATAATTGATTTCTACACCATATTTAGACTGCGCCACCAAATACAGATTTCTAATAGAAACAAATCTGCTTTCTTTTGGTAATTATGTATGCTAAATGTGTAGTCCGACAAATACGGTGACTATCAGCAATAATCCAAAATTAATCCGTCACATAGACAGTAAAAATGTAATAGCTTTAATTATTATCAACACCCAAATATCTCTGCAACTATTATAAAAACCCAAAATGAAATATGCCCAAGGCATTCACTTGGTCAAATTTGTGTAATATGGCTCCACCTGTTGTCGTAGAACCAATTGACAGATTTCCGAATTCCGCATTTGCACAGAACTGCAGCTAGTGCCAACCAGAGAGCGCCACATAATTCAAATACAACGTGATTTATTACGTAAAATAAAGTAGTACGATAGCTAAGACAATGAAATTAAGAAAGAAAAAAGGAATTATATAATAAAGAATTAAATTCTAAAGCTCGTCGAATCAGACAATTTTTTACTGTTCATGAAATCTTCAGCGCCTACCTTGATTTTGTTCCTTTGTTGCTTTTAAATTTCTATCTATTTTTTTTAAATAACAGTTTTTAAAATAAGGCAACTAATCTGCGGGATCAATCGTGCAAAACAAAATGTCAAATCCAATTATTGTCACTTCTCAGAAATCTCAAAGCACAATGAATGAACCCGAGTACATTAAAGCATAGTACATGGTCATATTAGATTTAAATATATTTAGTGAGATAAAAATTATTTTAATTTAAGTATTATTTGGACAATTTCGAGATATTGCATTACTCCAAGCTTTCATTTATAAAATTTTGTAAAAACGATTATCTGAAACGACTTCTAAATGGCGACGTTAGCTAAAAGTTCATTAAATCCACATAGTAAACTAGAAATAAATTTCACTAGCTTCCGGAAATTGACTGCAAACTAATTAAAGAATGTACTCTGATAATTAACTGCGTATAGAAATATCTTTGTTTTTTCCGATCAGCTTTTATTGCCCTTAGGGCTCAACTCGGTTACATTTGTTCTTTTAAAAGAGCGCCGCTGCCTCCGGCCAACCAATAAAAATATTTTATAACCGTAACCGCTGATTGCCAATTAATAATCTTAATTAGGGTTATACAAATCAATGGCGCAACATCGGGGTTAAACTTACTTTTTCAAATTTAAATAAAATATAATAAACATAATAAAAGTATAGGAAACGCTCAACGTCGCTCGTATGCTGACTTCTAATACTTAACACGCATCTGGTTACTGCATAATTGGGTATTTTATTCTAGAATTTTTCCCGATGGATGGCTGATAGTAAAAAAACGTGGTCGTTTGGAAGTATTTCCCAATGCTGGCCCTTTCTTTGAAGCTTTGGTTGGCTCTTTCTACCTCCATAAGCGACAATGAAGCAATATTTGAGGCTCTGCCAACAGTTTTTGCTGTGCGTGGTTTGTAAAAATGGCACAAGAAGGGTTAATGTCATGGTTTTCCGACCGGATCTAGTTCCTTACCACCTTCCCAATTAACTATGCGTAACATTCAAATTAACCTCCCAATCTTCTTTAAAAAATCTTATTGAATTAATAGGCATTTGCCATTCCTACTGATCGCATGCATTTCTCGTGATTTTATAAAAGTGCTAAGTGGTAATGTGCTTGCAAATAGTAATAACTTTTAATATAATTTAAGTTAATAAATGTAATATAATATTGCATAATATAAATGCAGTGTAATATAGGGTGCGGGGACATTAAATTATATATTTATACAATATAATATGCCATGAATTGCTTTGTTTTTCGTTTTTGTTTAACGGCCGGAAACCAGTTTCTAGTTCCCAACAGACAAGGTCAAAAGTCTCAAAAGCAACTAGGTATCAATAAAAGAAAGAAAAAGAGAAGACCATGAGGAAACAAGTTAAAAAAATAAATAAAATGCCAAGTATTATGTGTGAACTAAATATGAATAGCAGATGCAATTTTATTACAAATAATATCTTTAACTTTATCAATAAAAACTCATTTTAAAACTTTGAAAAATCATAAAAATATGTTTGCATTGTATAAAAGCACTCCTTATGAAATTAAAGGCCGACTAAACATAGTAATAAGCCGACAATACATACATAGCTTTGTTTACAGTAGCTAACGTGTGCCTAGGTAGGTTGAAAGAATACAATTTTTACATTGAAACTCTTAGTAAGAGGATTGTTAGCTGTTTAACATTTCTTGAGTGACATATGAACAAAACATATTTTTTCTACTAGCTTTTGTAATAGTATATTATGCAACAAGTGCGGTAAGCGGCATTTGACTCACGAGTTTATTTGACACGAGCGGAGCGAGTGCTTAATAAACGAGTGACTTAAAAAGTTTATCGAACGTGTTGCATACTATACTTTTTCTACGACCGTTAGTTTTTGGGTACATTTTCTCAAAACAAGACGAATACATTCATTGACATGACAGTCAGAATTGACAAATGTCAAAATTCAAAGCGTGGGAAATATCTCCAAAAAGAAGTGGCTCGGATTCGTGGGAAACGAAATAAAGTGATCGGTGTGTAATTAGGTATTTTACATACAGGAGCCGAAAAAATACGTTATACATCGATCAAGAGTGCGGAAAGTATCATTTTGGGAGGATATTGGAGACGATATTACTGCACGGCTTGAATTTTGACGTTTGTTAATTCTGACGGTCCTTTCAGTGAATATATTCGTGTTGTTTTTGTCAAAATGTACCCAAAAAGTAAAAGTAAGGTAAAAAAAACGTTCAGTAAACTTTTCAAGTCACTCGTTTATTAAGCCACGCTCCGCTAGTGCCAAATAAACTCGTGAGTCAAATGCCATTTACCTCACTTTTTTCATAATATAGTATTGTGGTGATGGGATTTAATGTTGAATACATTCGAATCGTAAAGGACACCAAACGAACTCTTTTTTTTAAAGAATATCAATATGAAAAATCTATATGAAATGTTCGTATTTTAAGTTTGTGATCCTCAATATAGCATGAATTCAAGAAATCATTAATTTCTAATTATTTATAAGTATTTAGCACTCAAAGTATGACAAATTTGCACTACATAATTTCATTTAACATTAATAACACAGAAAGTACATGATCAAATATTCACCTATTTCTAAACCAAAGGGGTCCAGCTCGTGATAGAGAAGTTTTTGGGGGTTGAAAGTCTATCCATCCTTTGTATTGCTTCAAATTATATATATATATATATATATATATATATATATATATATATATATATATATATATATATATATATATATATATATATATATATATATATATATATATATATATATCACCTCCCGCATTAGCAAGTTATATGGTTGTTGGCATCAGGATTCGACAATTTCAGTTATTTTGTTATTAAACTAGGCAACTTTCGATACAATTCATACAAACAGGTTCATATCCATCCCATTGCCATTGCCTTTATTTTTTGTTTACACATTTCGGGCAGATGTATCACTACCAGTTATCAAGTGCAGACTGTCTGAAAGAAAGAAAAAAAAAGAAGAGAAATTTCTTATTTTTTTTTTAAATGTACATGTGTAAAATTTTGTTTGACACAGTTTTAAAAATCTCGTCGTCTAGGTGACGCGTCCACTGTACAGTGAACAAGGAGATTTCTGGCGTTTGTCATTACCCCCCAGTAATTTC